GATCTTGAGCTGGACAGTTATCCTAAGGAATATGTTGACAAAAAACTGAACGTGACATTTGAAAGTAACCCCGATATCTACTACAAGTTTATTGAGATTTACGGTACGCACTACTGGTCCAGGGCCAACTTTGGTGGTTATGTCAAGATGGTATGCGAGACAACGAAAGAGTATTTTAAGTCCTCTACGCAGACTGAAATAGAGTCCAATGCGACATTCTTTGTTATGGTTAGAGGGGGTGGGGGAACGGGAAAATGAAGCGCCAGTCAAAGCTATACATCTCTATACTACTAAAACTCAAGTATGTTTACATGTTTGAATATTTTTTTTTTGTTTTTTTTTTGTTTGTCTGATTGGCTACTGCAGAAAATCTGCACTATGTGGAGAGCTGTAAAATAGTATGTAGGTGGAGAACAATTTTTGTTTTCAGACAGACTGTTAATCACAAATTTATTAAAAGGCGTTAATTAATTTATTGAATTATTCATTGGTAGATTAACTACATTAATTTTAAAAGTTTCTAACAATGGCTTTACTTTGATGGAATAGTGACGTCACATGATTTGTTTACTTTTGAGTACAATCAATGGCGGCTCCAATACAATATTTCGTGGCCTATTCAGAACTTTAACGCGTTATAAAGCTAATTTTCTGTCGGCTATAACTTAAACAATACGACCGTTTGCTATATTTATTACGTTTCAACACTTATATCAATTTTCAACTGTCTTTTTCATTTAATTTTACAATAAATTTCTCTTTCGAAGGAAGAAAAAGTTATGAATCTAGATATCTAGATCTAGGTCACTAGACTTAACTATTTCAGGCTTTAAATATTTTATATAAATCTTATTTTAGCTTCAATGATCATCTTATTCGAGAATGCATAGGATTTAAACTTCTGATTTATCTATCTTAATTTCTAGATCTAGATCTATTTTCTAAAATTTAGGTCTAATCTAGATCTAGACTAAACGTAAATTTTAAATCTAGAACCTAGAATCTATAAACCAAACTATTTCAGGGCTTAATTATTTTATATAAATCTATGTTTGTTTAGTTGTGGAATATGCTAATTTGGAAAAGCTCGATCTAGGACCTATTTACGTAACTTAATATTCATACGCGGAATCTATACCGCTAATTTTGCAAAAATAGACTTAAATAGACGTAAATTCTAGATCTAGCTCTATCTAGATTTACTAAACTATTTCAGGCCTTAATATTTTACTTTATATAAATCTTTGTTTGTTTAGCTATGGAATAGGCTAATTTGGGATAATATTAAATTTGAAATGCTCGATCTAGGGCCTATTTGCATAACTTAAGTTTCATACAAGGATTCTATACCGCTAAATTTGCCCTCCCCCCCTCACCTCCCTCACCCCGAGATGTCTAGAAGAAACTCTGTTCGGTGTTTTAAAAGACAAAACATGTCTAAGTTGGGGGGGGGGGGGGACACTGGGCAGGTAAAGTAGAGTTGACCTGTTTTTGTGATCTCAGCATCTAAAGAGATAGTGTTGTCAGACCCATGCTCAGCCGAAATAGATAATAATAAAAGACAAAAACGTCTGAGGTGTGACATATATTTGAATGTGGGTTCTGTTTTTTTTGTGACGATAAGTAACAGACGTGATGTTTTTTATGGATGACCCCCGAAACCCACAGTTATTCAAGGGATGACGGGTAGTCTAGTCTAATACTAAAACATCAATCAAATTTTATGGAGGAGATCCAAACGTCCTTGCTAAAGACGGCTTCGCTAAATGGCAACCTACTGTTGACAGCGACCCTTGGTTGTTTTATGGGAGACTGAAAACCATCAGCGATTTGTTTAAGAATGCCACAAAGAAAGCCGAAATGGTAAAAGCTGTTAAGAATTATCTGATCAAAAACTACATCCTAGAATAGAAAAGTCTCCTTTTTGCAGCTAAAGCCAGATCAGATAACGGCATGGTCAACCAGCTTCTGGCGGATGTAGTAGTGTTAAAGAAAACTACGTTCCCTACAGATTATGTAGTGGAAGTCAAAGCACTAAAAATAGCAAAGCTTTTTTCAACCCCAACACGGTTTCTAAAAGCAAAACTGTGCATGGATTGGAAGGGAACTAAAGACGTGGCACAATGCGGTTGTCCCGACGTCCCAGCTCATATTTATGCCCAAGTCAACAATATGACGCAGTGGTACCTTGACAACACCGTCAGCAGACAGGGGGGTTGTAATATAACATGAGGAATTTTGTCATCCGGCTATGCAGGATTTTTTTGAAAATGTAAGGATTTTTTATCAAATTTCCGCTGAAAACGACCCAGCTCAGTGCGGTAATGCTATAGGAGGCCAGTTCTGCTCTCCAGCTACAAACAGCTTCACGACGCCTTACTTTGATGATACGGCCGGACGCAAAGGTGGATGCAAGCTGCAATGGATGCTCAAAGCACCAACGAGCGTAGCGCCGATTTGGATGCAGGCTGTTCAGCTGTGTTTCAAGTGGGAAGCTGATGGAGACGCACCTCAATGCGGTGGCGGAACTTCAAATATCCAATGCGTGGAAACCAATCAATGGACAAAGTACTACACGGACTACACAGACGACCGTAAAGGGGACTACAAGATGAGCTGGGGCTTGATATCAGCTTCATGAAGCCAAGATAAAAAAAATCAGATCTCACTTAATGTAAAAAATGTTTCACTGATGTAAACATTTTGGAAAATAAAAGCATCACAAAGGTTTTATCTGTTTCATTTTCATTCATTGTTTTTCGGGCATTAGGACCGTTGTTAAAATACAGGCTCGATCGAATTGTAGAACATTTTACTGCCCCCCAGAAAGTTATATATTTGGACACAGTCCTCTTTATGGTCCTATGTTATGTCTGCTGCTCTTTCAGTATCCACATTAAAAACTATTCTTTAACTGTTTCATTTCAATCTTACGTAAATGTTGTAATAATTACAAATCTGGTCCTCATTTACACACACACACACACACACACACACATATATATATATATATATATATATATATATATATATATATATATATATATATATATATATATATATATTTTAAACATTCAATAATATTCATGATTGTGAAGGTAAATTATTTTCAATAGCAAAAGAATGTTTTTTGGATCAAATAGATTCAACCGCATACCATTTTAAAATGTGTGAATTTTCACTCCAAGCATGTGACTTTTTGACCCCGCACTGGGGTAAAATGTCACAATTCTAAATAACCATTTTGCAAGTCTGTTATTGGCATACCGTGAGCAGCTATTCCAAACGGCTCTGCACACAGTTATTTGAAATGGAGAACTAGTATCTAGTGCATTGGCATTGTTAAAGGTTCACATTTCTTGTCTCCAGATCCAAAAAAGTGAAATTTGTGACTTTTCACCCCCTCCTCCACTACACCTTAGTGTGGTTAGCGCACTTATGAAAAAAAAAAACTTTATATGATTTAAAATCCATCGATTAATAATAAAATCACGCTTTCTTTGACCAGAGTTTCTTCCAGCCATCTTTTAAGTAAATCATGTTTTCTATCACATTTCTTGTAAAAACAAAAACAAGTAAACGTAAATAAAACCGAAGATACTGGTATTATATTTATATCTTTTTTTTATTATGTGTAGGAAATAAGTTCCAACAACATAACATACATACATTTTACATTGAAAATAAAAAAGAGCAGACTAGTAAGAATATTAAATCCAATCAGGGTTTGTATCGGAAAATTAGTACTGTATTACGGAAATAAGGCTATCCTTATTTTGAGAAATAGCAAACTACTACTTCCAGTCAACAGAAAGTTCTTAAATTTTGACAGAATCAAGAGAATAAGTAAGTGTACCTATGAATAAATTTAACGGTATTTAAATTATCGGTATTTTGTAAACATAACTGAAACGGCACTAAAGTTAATATTACAAGCACACAGACACACAGTCACACATACACATAGACAAAATTGTAAAACTATGTGTACGACTCGTGGATTTATTAAACGTGGACATTTTTTTCCCGGTTACTATAGTTTCATGTTCGAAATTTCTAAAAGAGAAGGTTTTCTTTACTGGCAGGTAAATTTTGGGAATATTTCAGCCAAGACACAGGTAACACCTCCCAAAATAATATTTCAGATGGACCTGATCCCAGCACCCCATCCCTCTTCTCAATGCTTCCTACTGTAAACCACCCTTTTTTTTAAAACTGCTTTCAGGCACAAAATGAGATGCATATTTTATGCATTTCGTTTCTTTGTTCAAGCAGATCAAGAGATACCAGCAGTACTTTGTAACGAAAACATTTGCATTTTTTCTCGCAAGGCAAAACCACAATTATTGTATTTGAAACTTGCAGTTTTGTGGCTTTCTTGCGCATTCGGTGGCTGCAAGTCAACTGGGTAGCAACCACGGAACAAGTAGGTGAGTAAGATAGTGGTAGCACATTCTTTACCGTCTTTGTTTTATTTTTAGGAAATACAATAGATTATCCTTAGTTTAACCTTTGTAAAACTCTATTGTTTTCAATAACAATACTTCCCCTATACTTCCTATTCGAGTTATTTCTTATAATAAGCTTTAATATATGTATACATTAAAAAGAAGAAACATGCTTGTTATATAATCAATATTCACGAATAAATAAAGATAAATATAAAGAGAAGCGTGGGTCTCTCTATAGTTATTTAAAAAAGAGGTGCACTTTTATTTATTTAGAGAAAAAAATAATTTTATTTTAGCTCATATATATGAGCTAAAATCGAATGCATTATTATTTATTTCCGAATAATTATATAAAATTGAGCTAAATTTTATTCTGTTTGAAATATTTAAAATTGTATTCTCGAAATAAAAACTAATTTATCTAATGTTTTACAAAACTCTAGAAAATGGTATTAAAATTTAAGTAGCTTTCTTTCACTTTTCTCCATACATTTCTACATTTCTATACCAGCAAGCTGAATGATTATTATAATATGTTCGCAGGATGATAAATTATCTTTTATTGACGTTGTTGTCGGTGTGGGTGACGCCTCTGGTGTATGGTAAAGTCTGCCTCAACCTACCACCCGGTCTGGCAAAGATTATCAGGGGCGTGGACATGGCCAAACTTGACCTGTTGCCCGTGGAGATTGTGGGTGACGACGGTATTATGAAACCAGTTTTCCCCCTGACCTGTGACGATGAACGCGAGTGGAAGGATGCTAAAGGCAAAAAGTATGAGTTGCCAGATCAGGTTTGTAAAATAAACACAATTTAAAAAAATAATATAAAGTAATTATACAGTAATAAAAAGTAGTACAGTTCCATTTCGGAACTGTCGGGCCACTGTCAGGTGAAATACAATTCACCTGTTTTTGTGACCTTGGCATATAAAGGGACAGAGTGCTCAGCACTATCCCCAGCCGTCTTTACTTTCCCAAACGTGCGACAGGTACCCATCAGAGTTGGGTGGACTCAGGGACGTGCTCATAATTTAGGTAGGAAACCGACCTCCCAAAATTCAGGTTACCAGACAAACGTTGTGTAAATATTGTAATGTTTTTATTTAAAAGATAAAAATATAATGAAGTAATATTTTATTTGGTATATTATTGTTTGTACTCTACTTCAAGTATTTTACATTTTTTTAATATAAAATCATACATACTGATAGAAAATTAAGCTATAAACTAAATATCTACATATTCGTTACATCTGATTGTTAAGCTTACCTTAAATATATCACATTATAATATAATGTACATTAGCAATAATTATTTTGTATTTTGTCGATCATTTTATACAGAGATTTAACGAAATTTTTACAGTAAAGTATTTTGGGTAAAGTATAAACGGGCGTCGAATAATCGTAACAAATTCTGATTCCAATTTTTAAAAAACAGATTTGGCAGATCACTACGGTGCCCGGGGGGTACACGACGTCTGAGGTGAGCACTAGCACGTCATACAGCGACGTACGTTCACATTTGGCCAGCAGTGTTAGCGTAGACGCCGCCATTGGAGATTTCTCCTTCTCTATCAGCAACACGTACAAGAAAATGCAGACCTCTATCACAAACGGCTCCAGGTATTTATCGGAAGTTACGTCATTTGCCGGAGCTTCCCGAATGGACGTCGTTCCTCCGGCCGATTTGGAGCTAGACAGTTATCCTAAGGAATATGTTGACAAAAAACTGAACGTGACATTTGAAAGTAACCCCGATATCTACTACAAGTTTATTGAGATTTACGGTACGCACTACTGGTCCAGGGCCAACTTTGGTGGTTATGTCAAGATGGTTTGCGAGACAACGAAAGAATACTTTGAGTCCTCTACGCAGACTGAAATCGAGGCCAATGCTCAGGCGACATTCGTTGTTATGGTGGGAGGGGGTGGGGGAACGGGGAAAGGAAGCGCCAGTCAAAGCTACACTTCTAATACCAAAACATCAATCAAGTTTTACGGAGGAGACCCAAACGTTCTCGCTAAAGACGGCTTCGCTAAATGGCAACCCACTGTTGACAGCGACCCCTGGTTGTTCTCTGGGAGACTAAAACCCATCAGCGATTTGTTCAAAAACGCCACAAAGAAAGCCGAAATGGTTAAAGCTGTTAAGAATTATCTGATCAAAAACTATATCTTAGAGCAAGAACGTCTCGTTCTTGCGGCTAAAGCCAGGTCCGATAATAATATCGTAAACCAACTTCTAGCAGACGTTTTACAGCTTAAGAAAGCTGCTTTCCCTGTAGAATGGGATGTTACCGTCCAGGGGATGCGGATCGCCAAGTACTTTTCAACCCCAACATGGTTTTTGAAGAGCAAACTTTGTATGATCTGGAAGGGAACAAAAGACGCAGCACAGTGCGGTGGTTCTGGTGTCCCAGCTCAGATCTGTGCCCAAACCAACAACATGACGCAGTGGTACCTTGACAACACTGACAGCAGACAGGGGGGCTGTAAGATGCAATGGGGAATACTGTCATCTGGTTATGAGGGTTTTTTTGAATCGATAAGTATCTGTTATGAGTTTGCTGCTGAGAACGATATTGCACAATGCGGCGGGCTCGCCGGTAGAAGCTACTGCTCTCCCACTATAAACAACTTCACGACCGAATACTTAGACGATACAGCCGGACGTAAAGGAGGATGCAAGATGCGATGGATGCTGAAAGTGCCGACGAGCGTAGCGCCGATATGGATGCAGGCTGTTCAGCTGTGTTTCAAGTGGGAAGCTGATGGTGACGCAGCTCAGTGCGGTGGCGGAGCTGAAAATTCCCAATGCGTGAATTCAAATCAGTGGACCAAGTTTTACACGGACACCACCGATGATAGGAAGGGCGGCTGTAAGATGAGTTGGGGCCTCAAGTCCGCTTAAAGGTGCCAAGACGATAGTCAAATCTCTTTCAATGCTGTCACTGTTTAAAGGTCTTTAACACCAAGTAACTGTCAGCGTGTTATTTAGAAAAATTATTCAGAAAAATAAAACTATCTAAGAATTGTATGTCTTTTATTTTGATTCACCGTTCGCAAAATTTGGCACATCTTTCTGTAATGTGAGCACTATGCGTTAATGTTTGCATTTAAATGTGAGTTTATGTTCGGCGTAATCGTTTACGTTTTCGTTTGTGTTTTGTTTGTGTATATTTTTGCGTTTGTTTTTCTTTTGTGTTTGCTTTTGTGTTTGCGTTTGCGTTTGCGTTTGTGTTTTGTTTTGCGTTTGATTTTGATTTTGTGTTTGTGTTTGCGTTTTCGTTTTCGTTTGATTTTGCTTTTGTGTTTGCGATTTTTTTTTGTGTTGGTTGTGGTTAGTGTTACGTTTAATGTTAGAGGTGGGTTAATGGTTATGTGTTCTTTTGTCAAACGTCCATGCCGGGTATATGCTGCTAAATAAACACAAGTCATGGCCCTTTAAGTTTCCCTTTCAAACCTGACGGTCTATGGGGCAAATGAAGTAGAGTTCACTTGTTTCTGTGACCTCGGCATATGAAGAGATAGTGTGGTCAGCATTATGCCTAGCCGCCTTTACTTTCCCTAACGTGAGTTAGGTACCCATCAGAGTTGGATGGACTCAGGGACGGTCTACTGAATGGAACCCGGATTCGAACTCGAGACTTACGGGTTAGCAGTCTAGCTCTCTACTCCGTCCCCCATGGTCCTTATATATATACCACGATATATATACGCACGATATCATGAACCGCACCCCGAACCAAACTCAAAACAGCACTGGTCCATATGTCATACTCCATCCCGAACACCACCAACAACCTAAACCACAACACCCACACCCCCTCCTAACACAATACACCCAACACATCCAAACCCACATAATAGATGCACATGCCACTAGACAACGTAGCACACTCAACACGATGCATAAACAATTACCCATCTCACATCGCACAGTCAACTCACACCCCAGGCCATAACATACAGACACACACTTAATAATAAGACATGGAATTTAACTGAACATACATGGAGTTAAGATGACGATAGCATGCATGGAGTTTAGGTGATGGTAGCAAACAGGGAGTGTATGTGATGTTAGCATACATTAAGTGTAGGTGATGGTAGCATACAGGGAGTGTAGGTGATGGTAGCATACATTAAGTGAAGGTGTTGGTAGCATACAGGGAGTGTAGGTGATGGTAGCATACATTAAGTGAAGGTGTTGGTAGCATATAGGGAGTATAGGTGATGGTAGCATACATTAAGTGTAGGTGTTGGTAGCATATAGGAAGTGTAGGTGATGGTAGCATACATGGAGTGTAGGGGATGGTAGCATACAGGGAGTGTAGGTGATGGTAGCTTACATTAAGTGTAGGTGATGGTAGCATATAGGGAGTGTAGGTGATGGTAGCATACATGTAGTGTAGGTGTTGGAAGCATATAGGGAGTGTAGGTGATGGTAGCATTCATGGAGTGTAGGGGATGGTAGCATACAGGGAGTGTAGGTGATGGTAGCATACAGGGAGTGTAGGTGATGGTAGCTTACATTAAGTGTAGGTGATGGTAGCATATAGGGAGTGTAGGTGATGGTAGCATACATGTAGTATAGGTGATGGTAGCATAGATTAAGTGTAGGTTATGGCAGCATACAGGGAATGTAGATGATGGTAGCATAGAAAGAGTGTATGTTATGGTAGCATACAGGGAGTGTAGGGGATGGTAGCATACAAGGAGTGTAGATGATGGTAGCATACAGGTAGCACTAGCATATCTGCTTTGCTCTATTATCCACCCCCTTCATACAGACACGTGTCGAATTCAAATTTTCGATTCCTTTCAATTCAAACTGATATACTTGACATGTCGGCTGTGAAGTTTATCGTCACCACAACATGAATTTCATTAATTAAAAAAAAATTATGCAGGCTAAAAAAAAAAATAGCTTAAAAAAGAACTTGAACGAGACAACAGCCAATGAGCCCGCCTATTTTACCCGCCGTGTATTTGAATGGGAAGAAATGAAGCAGACGACACATTTCTACTGGACGGTCAATCGCGTCAAAACAACACTCCTTAAAAACTAACTCAATGAATAAGTCATCGCATCGCAGCCATTTAAAAAAAACAACGCGTTTTATCACACATTATTTTCTAGGCTACCGATTAATTTTGATAATTAAAATTGGTATCAAATTAAAAGTAAATAAATGTAGTTTTTTAACTGTTTAAGTCATCTTCAACAATACTTACTTACTTAATCCTCGTCACTCCCTGTTCGCCCTCCCGAAAATTTTTTACCGCCCCCCCCCCCCCCCGAACGAAATGAAATTTATATAATTTATATAGAAAATATATACTTTTAACAGTGTCCGCCCCCCCCCCCCCCCCGAAGAAAGTCTACCGCCCCCCCCCCCCCGAAAATTTCAAGAGACCCCGCGGAGAAAAAAGTCTGGAAGAAACACTGTATAGGGCAGCAACAAATCTCCGCTATTCCACTCTGTCTTGGGCGAGCAAACAATAATGAAGTTTTAAAATCTTAATCCTTACCCTACTATCAGGTAAACTAAACAACGACACATGTATATATGTAGCTGAAATTATGCCCAGTTAAACTTGCTTAAACCAGTCTATAACTACCATTGCAGTCAGGTCCTAAATTCATTGTTTATACCTCCAGTTGTGTATTATGATGTTTGATTTCTAATTAAAATTAATACTTTTAAGAATTTCGATTTGTCGATTTTATTAATATATGCATTCAACTGGTTCATAATGGTTCTAAATTTTTGATGCCAGAAAGCATATTTTTCAACCGAAATCGAATATTTTATAACATTTGTATAATAGGTACAAATTACTTCCGGGTTCATTAAGAATAGAAATAGTCAAAGAAATAATTACTAGTAATATAATAGTAATACAATAGTACGCTATACACCGTAGATCATCATCATCATCATCATCATCATCATCATTCCTTTGTGGCCCCTGGGGAGCAAAGGGCTGCAACTACACCTTTCCAATTGTTCTGACATTTATTGTTTTACTCTACCTTGCCATTTCGTTTGACTTCAAGGAGAGGTTGAGGGCAGTTTTTGAATACATTTGATTTGATTTAAAAAATTCTAAACTGCTTTTCAACGGCTTAAATTCGATATTAAAATATAAAATGAGTGTAATTGATGTTTCCCGAACGGCTTTAATTTGTTTCAAATGCAACTGTAATTTTATCGCTTACCATATTTTAAAAAAGATTTTATTCAAAAATGTACTATGATTAGATAGACTTTTCATACCTATTGTACCGTGTAATTTGTGAAGCGAACAGCAGTGACTTTGAATACCTCAGACGTCAGGCTGATGAACAAAGATGCAGTGACAATTTAAGTCAGACGCTTTCATGTTTTCCCCAGACCGCTAGTCTAACCCTATAGGGCTGGTAAGTAGGTAACCAACCAGTTCTATGGCTCATGCAGGTTTTATTGAGCCGTAGAACTGGTTGGTGACCTACTTACCAGCCCTATACACCACCTACAACCATCTATCAAGTTCTTTAAATTGTATTTGTACCGAGCGCTTGTCTAGTCTTAAGGGGATATCACTGTGCAAGGCTTAATACGATAAAATTAATAGCGTTACCTCGCTTTAAAAACGAAATGGGGGGGGGGGGGGGGAAGTCGAAAGCCACTGCAAACATTATGTTACTTTTGGGTTTGCATACATAACGTTAACTACGAAAGAAGGGTGGGGTGAGGGTGAGGGTCTGATTTTGTGACGATGTGTGACGAAAATGAACATACGATTAGTTACTGAAAACATGTTTAAATAGCGCGGTACATACATGACGTCAACTACTGAGGTGTCGAACTTAAGTGACGATGTGTGACGATAAATCATGGTCAGTTTCATAGACTGTTTTTATACTTTTGTATTTTGAAAACTATTTTTATACTTAATTTACTGTTATTTTGCACTTCCGAATGATGGTAAAACAAATAGCTAGTGTAGCCTATGTCATATATCCAAATGTGTATACACGCAATAAACAAATAGTTTCTGCCATTTTGCAAATAAAATAGCAAGTATCGGCTATGTAAAAAATAAAATAGCTTGTATTTGCCATGTAGCCAGAAAAATAGTAAGCATCTACCATAAAGGAAAGAAAAACCTAGTATGCCATTAAGGCATAGAGTTGCTGTTTTAAATACACACACAAAAAAAATCAATTCACATTAAAGGTATGTTACAAAATATTTTTTTAATTATCAAAATTAAGAACACCAGATAAAAAACGAACAATTTCTCGTACATTAATGCACAGCTTTTTGTTTAATGCACACACGTAAATTAGAAAAAAAGGGTAGGCCTCTATTTGTGTTGTAATTTTTAAGATACATTTATTTTATATTATCTTGGTAAATTCTTGGACCCAATAAGACACTGTGTGGGCTAAAACGTTAAAAACATTTTTTAAAGTATTGGTCTTATCGATGTTGAACAATCAAATCTTCTGAAAATAGGGGTGTTAGGTTATCAATCTATTAATATAGTTATGAAATTATATAATATCAGTTTTAGTTTAGGGTCTGAAATTAGGGACGTTTATGGTAAGACGGATTACTTTAATGATAAGGTTAGTGCTCATTTTAGACAGTTATGTGAGTATTTAATCTACTACCAATAACCTAACATCCTTTTTATAAGAAGATCCCATCAATGTGGTAATATTGGACATGGTCGTAACAAACACCCTAGATAATTTATCATACGTCATTTAACAAAATGACTTCAGAGGTTTTTTAATGTAGCCAAAAACTTCGCCGTGTTTACAAGGCACAAAAAACAATAAATAGCACAGAATTTTATTGTATTCATATGCTTAACTTCAGGAGTTTTAACAATACATAAACGTTTGCACAGACACACACACACACACACACACACACATATATATATATATATATATATATATATATATATATATATATATATATATATATATATATACTAACAATTCGTAATGATATAAAGAACTGATATTGCTGTCAGTGTATCTTTCAGACTTTTTCTTCCGGGGGCGGACTAAATTTTTTGGGAAGGCGTAGGCCTACACTGGTAAAAGTACATATTTTCTATATAAATTCTATTTCGTTCGGGATGGCGGTAGACTTTCCTCAGTAATGACACTGTATGGCAAACGATGAGCGTCAACATGGTGGATGATCGGATGACTTGCTGTGAGGTTATATAACACTAGGCAACGGGTGAATTTCATTCTTGGGTTCTCTAGTCAGCCAGTATGTCGTCATCATCCCCTTTCCCTGAAGTAGTTGAAACGTGGCTTAAGTTTTATATTTAAAAATGTTTATGTAAATACTGTAAATACATACACATACACACACAGACACACACAGACACACACATATATATATATATATATATATATATATATATATATATATATATATATATATATATATATATATATATATATATATATATATCTTTATTTTTTAAGGCGCTTATTTTACTTTCAGTTAACAAGAACACAAAAGCACCAAAAAAGTTAATAAAAGTAATGACGAGAAATAAATAGATACTAAAATGATTTGTTAAGAACATACAAGATGTACATTAAAATATATTATAACTTCTTGTCGGATTAATAATAAATAATAAAATACGAGCCGACCCGCTGCGTATCATACGCCGCTATTTAGTTGTTTTTTTTTTTTTCTACTTTTCAGTAATTTATAATTTGTGAATTCGACAGTACCAATGCTGCCATTGAAAATATTTGCTTAAAAACACTAAACCCCCCCCCCCCCCCACGTGAAAGCAGCCTCCTCTTAGTTACCTCCTCTAAGTTTAAAATCGTTTCAAACTCAATTATCTGCCCCTAATAGCCGTCACCAAACCCGTCTCTATGATTGTAAAATGTAAACAGAGTGAACACCGCTCACCAGATCATGTGGGGGTGGGGTGGGGGTGGTAGTGATAGTGATAGAGAGGAAGAGAGGGGACTGCAAAGGCGCGCTTGCAGCTTGTTTTCTAACTGATCCCAGAAGAGAATTATATATATAGATACTACATAAATACCGTATTACACACCTATTCGAGAATATAATAGCAATACGTGTCTGAGTTAAATAAATTGCCATGCTTCGAAAATAGAGATGGGTATTAATATTATCTGTTTGAATGCTTATGCTAATAAACCGGGAGTGATCTCCCCTAAAATTTCTCGAATATTCTTATATAAAAAAAACAGGGGATGGCAACTCGGGATATAGACATGAATTTTAATCCATTTAAATACTTAAACTTTTTAAAATAGAATAAAATCTCGTAGAAAAAAGAATCGGACACCAGTGAACGCCAAATAAAATGTGCAAAATAGTTAGGAATATTATTAGTACTTTATAAATTTACATTCGTTTTTTGAGAAATCGAATATAGAGTAAATTAGTACTTCATGTCCACGGAAATTACTCAAAATTTGACAGAAGGTAGAGAATTAGATCTTTTACTTGGGAGCCGGACGTTTTCCCGAAAGACACTTGCCCGAATGCCGTTTGCCCGAAGGCCGATTTCCCGAATGGACACTTGCCTGAATGCGACAAATGCCCGAATGGACACTTGCCCGAATGCGACAAACGCCCGAATGGACACTTGCCCGAATGCGACAAATGCCCGAATAGACACTTGCCCGAATGCGACAAATGCCCGAATGGACACTTGCCCGAATGCGACAAATGCCCGAATGGACACTTGCCCGAATGGGACAAATGCCCAAATGGACACTTGCCCGAATGCGACAAATGCCCGAATGGACACTTGCCCGAATGCGACAAATGCCCGAATGCCACTTGCCCGAAGGCCGTTTGCCCGAAAAACATTAACATTATATATTACTAAATAATCATTCGTAATCAATTTAAATTTAAAATGTTGGTAAACAAAACACATCTATGCAAAAAGAAAGTGAAAAAAATAATATTATATATTACCACGCAGACATTTTAAATTAATTTGTATTTGATATTTAAAAAGTGTAGAAACATACTTCCATATATGAAATTAGACAAAAATACAATTTTCATTCATCTCCGGATTTTAAAATGATTTTTGCTTTCTTTATTAAGTAATTGCTTCAACACATTGTCTTAACAAGGTGCATTAAATGCAGATCAAACATATTTGACTACGTTTAGTTTTTAAATTTGCCACCTAGACCTCGCCTCATTCTTTTGTTACATGATCACCTCACAAATCGGCCTTCGGGCAAACGGCATTCGGGCAAGTGTCTTTCGGGAATTTGTCGTAGACCACTTTTACTTATATGTGAAATTTGATTTATCTATCTGAAATAGTACTCAAATTATAGGCTTTTGAAAAATTCAAAGTAAAAAAAGAACCGTTTCCGGTTATCGGAAATCGCTCAAAAGTTAAAACTTATCTACGATTTTGATAAAATACTTATATATGAAATTTCATCAACCAGGCTGTAACGGTACTTAAGTTATCGAGGTTTACAGACACACAGACATACGGACACAGAGACACATACACACAGACATACGGACAAGATTGCAAAATTATGTTTTTCCGTATCAGTGAGGTGTAAAACGTCGAGTTTTGCAAAAATCTCGATATTTTCTTTGCACGATTACAATACTTTCTATATACTTCGTATATACGAGAAAGTAAAAGTCCAAGTTCGAGTTACAGACCTTAATGTTTATTTCTCCTCGCGGAGTCATCTCGAATGTTCCAAACAGGTCAAGGATGGCTTTGATAGACGAGCTCATGTGGATCATCATAGCTGGGGACAGTGGATATTGTAAATTGTTACAGTGTATATTGTAAATTGTGACGGTGTATATTTTAAACTGTGACGGTGTATATTTTAAACTGTGACGGTGTATATTTTAAACTGTGACGGTGTATATTTCAAATAGTGACATATTTTATATTTTAAACATCGTCAAAGTTATGTCTTACAAGGACTGCTCTTATTTTTGTTACGTAGTGTACTATACTTTTACGTTAATGATTGGTGTATTTGGTGAAGTCATCGGAGAATGAAAACATAACAAACAGCTGAATCTATCATGTTAGCTTCCAGTTTTAACGTTAAACCATAGTTTACCTTCCCCGTGTGACTCCATGCGTGACGCTGTGTTGACCGTGTCACCAAACAAGCAGTACCTGGGCATTTTGAGCCCCACCACCCCCGCACACACGGGCCCTGCAATACCATTGGACAGTTAATGACTTAACATTAATTAATCTAATTTTAGGGCCAGTAACTCACCAGAGTGTAACCCCCACTCCACCTGTCAGGGCCAGTAACTCACCAGAGTGTAACCCACTTCCCATGTCAGGGCCAGTAACTCACCAGAGTGTAACCCCCACTCCACCTGTCAGGGCCAGTAACTCACCAGAGTGTAACCCACTTCCCATGTCAGGGCCAGTAACTCACCAGAGTGTAACCCCCACTCCACCTGTCAGGGCCAGTAACTCACCAGAGTGTAACCCACTTCCCATGTCAGGGCCAGTAACTCACCAGAGTGTAACCCCCACTCCACCTATCAGGGCCAGTAACTCACCCGAGTGTAACCCAATTCTCAGCCGCATCCTCTCCGTGGGCATGTGACGGATCTTGAACTGGCTGATGGCCTTGAGAAGCTTGAGGGACATCCGGGCTATGTGGACGGCGTGCAGGTTGCCGTTCCTCTGTGGCAACCCGGAGACAACCATGTAGGCGTCACCTATGGTCTCCACCTATGGCATGAGAGAAAGATACGAAACTAACGGTAAACACGTCACGTATGGTCTCCACCCATGGCATGAGAGAAAGATACGAAACTAACGGTAAACACGTCACCTATAAACTACACCTAATATACGAGAGTTGAATTCGAAACTAAACGAAATCACGAGATATGCAATCATAAAAAAATGTGTATTAAATTATGTGTTTGTCTCTTTAGCATGCAATGTAGTACCCAGTAAAATACCAATGTATTTACTAGTAAAAATCACATTTAGACCATGTACCCATAAGATTATAATTTGGTAACTGAATAGGCCATACGCAATAATCATAAAATGTTATTCATTTACTAATTACTATACAGAAAAAGCAAACAAGCTTACTAAGTTCCCAGTTCATATCACATTTGAATTTTAATTACAAAGTAAACATCAACTTTGTTTACTCGATACCATTTAAACATATTTTTTTTTGCTTATTACCTTGTAAGACATGTATGATTTTTACCTTATATACATCAAACTCTTCGACTATAGCGTCAAAACAAGAGTAGAGATCGTTCAAAAGATCAACAACCTATAAAAGAAATAAAGATATTTACAGTGTTCAGATAAACATTTAAACGATATCAGCTAGTCGTAGAAAGTTGACAATTTGCTGTTTGCAATACAGCTTTACTGTATGAAATTCTTTTATAAGTCTGTGATTATATGTAGGAAATGATGCGACGCGAATGTATATATATATATATATATATATATATATATATATATATATATATATATATATATATATATATATATATATATATATATATATAATGTAATCCGTTAGATGAGATTACGTTTGACGTGTGTGACTATGTAATTCGAAAGATGACTTGTAATTAGGACGTGTGTTCGATGCAACTGTTAAGATGACGTATGATTGGTAATGACGTGTGTGATGACGTAGCTAGCAAAGATCAAGTGTGAATTCTTATGACGCGTGATTAATTATGACACATGTGATGCTGTAGCTCTTAACATGACGCAGCGTGACGTGACGTAGACTGTACAGCCCTACCTGGATGGGCGTCGATTTGGCCGAGATGGCGGTGAAGCCGACGATGTCGCTGAAGTATATGGTAACGCAGTCGTAAGACTCGGGCTCCATTCTCATTCCAGCCTTTAGTCTGTCCGCTACGGACCTACAACATCCAACATTAGATTACAAAAGCTGATAGGTCATCCAATATGACAGAACAGCATTGAATGGATCACACAACATGATGGGTCAACCAAACACCTACAACATCCAACATGACATTACAACATTTCATAGATTATACAATGCGCCATTACAACAGTTTATAGATAAACAATTAACCTACAATTTTCATTTGATGGATTAGCCAATGATCTACACATCCAACATAACTTCATTAATATAGACTACACAACATCCAACACTATGTTCTTCAAATATTTACATTAAAAATAAAACACAGATTCTTCAGTTTACTGAAAAGGTTCACGACAGTAGTATATTAGGTCACTTTTGGGTAGTATCCGCAGGCGCAGGCGCACCCAGGATGCGCAAAGGATATATAGTAAAATACTCGGATGCGCAGGGGATGCGCAGGCGCACCAGAGGTACAACGAGATATAGTAAAATACTCGGATGGGGATGGGAGCCGGAGGTACAACGAGATATAGTAAAATACTCCAGGCGCAGGCGCAGGGGCAGACCGGAGGTACAATGAGATATAGTAAAATACTCCGGATGGGGATGCGGATGGGCCAGTGTTTAATCGAAAGAGCCAAGTGGTTAACCACAAAGCCACCGTTAAGTGTGGGAACACCTGTTACCACTTTCATTGATTCCCCCCCCCTCCCCCCCCCCCCCCCGGTTGGGTCCCGTGCTTTTCACTAACAGTTATACGGACAGTATCATAGGTTTTTCATCGAGTAAAGAAATAGTATTGATCGACCCGTGTCTAGTCTATGTACCCATTAACCAACTGTGCAACAACTGTTGCGCGACCACAGCATAGGATCTGGTAATTAACCACTTAGCTCTTTTGATTAAACACTGGCCCCTACGGTGTTCGCTTCCGTGAACAACACATAAATCATCATGACCTGTCAAACCTAGCGGGGGAAAATCCCTGATGCGTGACCAAATTTAATTAGGTGGACCATCATACTGATGGTCAGTGGGTGCGATCAATACATTCCCATTAAAAAACGGGGAGCGCGTGTCAAAAACAAAGGATAGCTGGTGAATCGATACGTAACAGGTGTTACACGGCTGGTTAAATGGAAGTCATGACACAAAGTATACGTTAGCGTTGTGTTGTAGAATGGTCCCTATACAAAGTACACGCTAGTGTTAGTCTTTTATTTTAAAATACCATACATCAAAGAAAATAAATATATCAAACAAATAAAACAAATAAACAAAGTAATTAAAAAGCAAATTAATTAAAATGAATTTCAAACTAATAATAAATTAAAATAATTAAAATTACAAAATTAAAATTTTAAAAAAAAATTAAAATTTAAAATCCAATTACGTAACTAGTTAATAATAATTAAACTAATTATAAAATAAAATTAAAAATAAACAAAATAAAAATAATTTAAAATTTAAAATCAAACAAATAATCAAATTATGTAATATTAATTAATTATAATTTTAAAAACTCATTAAAACTAATTTAAAAAACTCGTTAAAATTACGTCACAAGGTCAATAAAAAATTACACAATATAAACAAAGTAATTAAATTAAATTCAAACTAATTAAAAATTACAAAATATAAACAAAGTAATTAAATTCATTAAAATCAAAAAAATAATCAAATTACGTAATAAAAACTCATTAAAATTACGTAACTGGGTCAAAATAAAAAATTAAACTAATTAAAAAACTCATTAAAATTACGTAACTAGGTCACCTGCGGTGATTACGTCACAAGGTCACCGGTGGTGACCTACTGACCTACTGACCTACTCCCCATCCGCATCCCTGCGCATCCTCCCCATCCCCATCCGCATCCCCATCCCCATCCCCATCCGTATCCCCATCCGGAGTATTTTACTATATCTCATTGTACCTCCGGTCTGCCCCTGCGCCTGGAGTATTTTACTATATCTCGTTGTACCTCCGGCTCCCATCCCCATCCGAGTATTTTACTATATCTCGTTGTACCTCCGGTGCGCCTGCGCATCCCCTGCGCATCCGAGTATTTTACTATATATCCTTTGCGCATCCTGGGTGCGCCTGCGCCTGCGGATACTACCCAAAAGTGACCTAATATACTACTCACGACAGAAGAATAAAAATTAATAATACACATATCTCAGATGAAACAGTAGCAAAACTTACACAAAACAATAAGACCACCTGTTCCAGAATAACATCTCTCCCTAAACTTATCTCCACAAACCCACCTGTACCACAAACCCACCTCCAGAAACCCACAAGTACCAGTAATCTCACATCGACAAACACAACAGTTCTATAAAACCCACCTCCACAACCTATCTACACAAAACCATCTGCACAAACTCACCTCCTAAAACCCACCTCCACAAACCCACCAAATTAAGATCTGATACAACACCCCCACAACCCCACTTGGGTAAGATCTGGTACACCACCTCCACAACCTCACCCCCAACTCCCCACCTCCACAACCCACCTGGATAAGATCCGCTACAAATCATCCACCCCTCCCCCACAACCCCACCCCAACCCCACAACCCCACCCCCACCTCCCCACCTGGGTAAGATCTGATACAACACCCCCACCTCCCCACCTGGGCAAGATCTGATACAACACCCCCACCTCCCCACCTGGGCAAGTTCTGATACAACACCCCCACCTCCCCACCTGGGTAAGATCTGATACAACACCCCCACCTCCCCACCTGGGTAAGATCTGATACAACACCCCCACCTCCCCACCTGGGCAAGATCTGATACAACACCCCCACCTCCCCACCTGGGCAAGATCTGATACAACACCCCCACCTCCCCACCTGGGTAAGATCTGAAACAACACCCCCACCTCCCCACCTGGGCAAGATCTGATACAACACCCCCACCTGGGTAAGATCTGATACTAAACCCCCACCTCCCCACCTGGGTAAGATCTGATACAACACCTCCACCTCCCCACCTGGGTAAGATCTGATACAACACCCCCACCTGGGTAAGATCTGATACAACACCCCCACCTCCCCACCTGGGTAAGATCTGATACAACACCCCCACCTCCCCACCTGAGTAAAATCTGATACAACACCCCCACCTCCACACCTGGGTAAGATCTGATACAACACCCCCACCTGGGTAAGATCTGATACAACACCCCCACCTGGGTAAGATCTGATACAACACCCCCACCTCCCCATCTGGGTAAGATCTGGTACAACACCCCCACCTCCCCACCTGGGTAAGATCTGATACAACACCCCCACCTGGGTAAGATCTGATACAACACCCCCACCTCCCCACCTGGGTAAGATCTGGTACAACACCCCCACACCCCCACCTGGGTAAGATCTGATACAACACGCCCAACTGGGTAAGATCTGATACAACACCCCCACCTCTCCACCTGGGTAAGATCTGATACAACACCCCCACCTCCCCACCTGGGTAAGATCTGGTACAACACCCTCACCTCCCCACCTGGGTAAGATCTGGTACAACACCCCCACACCCCCACCTGGGTAAGATCTGATACTACACCCCCACCTCCCCACCTGGGTAAAATCTGATACAACACCCCCACCTCCCCACCTGGGTAAGATCTGGTACAACACCCCCACACCCCCACCTGGGTAAGATCTGATACTACACCCCCACCTCCCCACCTAGGTAAGATCTGATACAACACCCCCACCTCCCCACCTGGGTAAGATCTGATACAACACTCCCACCTCCCCACCTGGGCAAGATCTGATACAACACCCCCACCTCCCCACCTGGGTAAGATCTGGTACAACACCCCCACCTCCCCACCTGGGTAAGATCTGATACAACACCCCCACCTGGGTAAGATCTGATACAACACCTCCACCTCCCCACCTGGGTAAGATCTGATACAACACCCCCACCCCCACCCCCCCACCCCCACCTGGGTAAGATCTGATACAACACCCCCACACCCCCACCCCCACCCCCACCTCCCCACCTGGGTAAGATCTGATACTAAACCCCCACCTCCCCACCTGGGTAAGATCTGATACAACACCCCCACCTCCCCACCTGGGTAAGATCTGGTACAACACCCCCACACCCCCACCTGGGTAAGATCTGATACAACACCCCCACCTCCCCACATGGGTAAGATCTGATACAACACCTCCACCTCCCCACCTGGGTAAGATCTGATACAACACCCCCACCCCCACACCCCCACCCCCACCTGGGTGAGATCTGATACAACACCCCCACCCCCACCCCCACCCCCCCCACCCCCACCCCCACCTGGGTAAGATCTGATACAACACCCCCACCCCCACACCCCCACCCCACCTCCCCACCTGGGTAAGATCTGATACTACACCCCCACCTCCCCACCTGGGTAAGATCTGATACAACACCCCCACCTCCCCACCTGGGTAAGATCTGGTACAACACCCCCACACCCCCACCTGGGTAAGATCTGATACTACACCCCCACCTCCCCACCTGGGTAAGATCTGATACTACACCCCCACCTCCCCACCTGGGTAAGATCTGATACAACACCCCCACCTCCCCACCTGGGTAAGATCTGGTACAACACCCCCACACCCCCACCTGGGTAAGATCTGATACAACACCCCCACCTCTCCACCTGGGTAAGATCTGATACAACACCCCCACCTCCCCACCTGGGTAAGATCTGGTACAACACCCTCACCTCCCCACCTGGGTAAGATCTGGTACAACACCCCCACACCCCCACCTGGGTAAGATCTGATACTACACCCCCACCTCCCCACCTGGGTAAGATCTGATACAACACCCCCACCTCCCCACCTGGGTAAGATCTGATACAACACCCCCACCTCCCCACCTGGGCAAGATCTGATACAACACCCCCACCTCCCCACCTGGGTAAGATCTGATACAACACCCCCACCTGGGTAAGATCTGATACAACACCCCCACCTCCCCACCTGGGCAAGATCTGAGACAACACCCCCACCTGGGTAAGATCTGATACAACACCCCCACCCCCACCCCCCCACCCCCACCCCCACCTGGGTAAGATCTGATACAACACCCCCACCCCCACACCCCCACCCCCACCTCCCCACCTGGGTAAGATCTGATACAACACCCCCACCTGGGTAAGATCTGATACAACACCCCCACCTGGGTAAGATCTGATACAACACCTCCACCTCCCCACCTGGGTAAGATCTGATACAACACCCCCACCCCCACACCCCCACCCCCACCTGGGTAAGATCTGATACAACACCCCCACCCCCACACCCCCACCCCCACCCCCACCTGGGTAAGATCTGATACAACACCCCCACACCCCCATCTCCCCACCCCACCCCACCTCCCCACCTGGGTAAGATCTGATACAACAGCTCCTCCGACTTCTTCTTCTCCTCCCTCAGCTCCACCGTCTTGTCCTCCACCAACTTCTCCAGGTTGTTGGCGTACAGCTCCATCCTCCGCATCAGGTTGTCCAGCAGGTTGCCAGTCTCTCCCAGAGATCTGAGGAGAGAGGGACATGATACATAGAGGTAGTCTCACGTAGAGGGGGACCAAAGGAGAAGTGTCCAAAAGCCAAGCTGTAATAAGCCGTAGTCAAACGTGTTAAAGTGGAAGAAAGTAGTACGGTGCAATTTAGGTTGAGCAAAAGTAGAAGCAGAGTTTCTTCCAGGCATCACTTCGGGGAGGGGGGGTTCAGTCGTCGCCCCCCCCCCCCCTCCGAACGAAATGGAATTTATATAGAATACATACTTATATCAGTGTCCGCCCCCCCCCTGGAAAATTTTGACCGCCCCCCCCCCCGAAAATATCAAGTGCCCCCTCTCCCCCCCCCCCCGGAGAAAAAAGTCTGGAAGAAACACTGAAGTAGTTTTAGGAGGTGATCGGGGTCAGACAACGGGTTAAGTCAACAAAGTACAAAAGAGGAAAATAGTTCCGAAAAGAAATAGCCACTGGTTGAATTAGCTTAGGAAGTTAAGAAAAATGGGCGCTTGAAAATTGGTCACAGAAAAAAGTTCATATAGAAAAATGGTAACAACAGCAAGTCAAATGTAAACGATTCATAAAAATTAACTCTACAATAAAATAAATTTAAAATACATCATTTGAAAACACGCACTCACACACAGCTTTATATGTGCGTAGAAACTACTTAATACAAAAAGCTGACAAATGTCAGACTTTTTCCGGTCATTTTATCCACCAAAAAGTTGTAATTTTTAAACTGATACTGTTAACTAGTAATACGCCAGTCTATGAGTAAAATCCCAGTGGGCCCCAGATATAATTACATTGATGTAATAGACCTATTAGTGCTTTCATTTTTTTCTAAACTAAACATTTGTTGGCGCCTCTCCATTTTATCCTCATTTATGCCAAAGCTAAAAATTCAATTTGATGGGGAAAATTGAAACAGTAAAAAAAATTTCAATCTAAAATTAGACGCCTCTTTTGAAATTTCATAAGCCTCTTGGACACAGCCACCCCATCCCTTTTAGTTAATAATTGTGATTTGAGATATTATTAGGGAATAGATAATTTAATAAGTGTGCACTCATAAATTTTTTTTAAATGTAGTGTAAATTATATTAACAATAGACATGTATAAATAAAGCAATGCTGACGAAAACGGATACCCACAAGGCAATTTTCTTGATGGCAGCTTTGACAGTTTGGGCGTGGGGTCTGTCTTTTGGTGACTCCGCCCAGCACCTTTCCATCAGGATCTTCATCTCACTCATTTTGACAGGCACTTCGATGATTGGTCGGAACGGGGTGCTGGTCTGTAGGACGATTTTCTGGAGGATTTCTGTGGGGGAAACATAACGGTAGCCAGTGGCGGAACTAGAAAAAATGGGCCACCCCGCAAAAATTTTTTTTGGGCCCCCATATATATATATATATATATATATATATATATATATATATATATATATATATATATATATATATAATATATATATATATATATATATATATATATATATATATATATATATATATATATATATATATATATATATATATATATATATATATATATATATATATATATATATGCAATACGAACATAGGATACTAATTTCTGGCCTGATCGGGTTTTGAAAAAAAGAAAAAATTCAATTAAATCTAATCATGTGTATGAGTGCATTGGTCTGTTTTTAAAATCTTTGTCTCATTTATATTTGCCTTAATATTGCTAATCATTAAGTCGGTCAAAAGTATATAAATCATGAAGCTTTGTATAAGTAATGGTGTCTCATGTTATGTTTATTTGTATGTTTTTTTTGTATTTATTTTATTAGTTTTAACTACATTTCATTATTGTACTATACCATTCTTTAGCACTTATTTTTTAAAAAATAATAATTAAGATAAGTAATTGCTGTTTAATTTGATTATTACAAATCTATTAAAAGGAGCTTATGAGCACCCCTATTTGGCTATTTGAAAAAGGGAAATAATTTATGGAAGTGGTTTGAACGTTTGCCTATCTTTCACACTACAGCTCATGTGTATATTTTTAAATTTTTTTTTACGCAACAGCATGTCTTAGCTACTATATAATATCACTACATTATTATATCTGTTATCTGTTTTCGTTATTTACAAAGCCACTATCAAGGTGCCAGTGACGAAACTAATATATATATATATATATATATATATATATATATATATATATATATATATATATATATCACGCTATCATTAGTGTATTAATTTGAGACGTTTGCCTTGTTTTCTAGAACAGTGGTTATTAAATGTAAACAATGTCGGTACTTTATTTCTTGGATATTAGTTGTTAGAGCGCTAGTTTGTCAACACAACCACCGATTCGAGCCAGCTTTGTTGTTAGAGCGCTAGTTTGTCAACACTACCACCGATACGAGCCGGCTTAGATGGTGAGGCGCTATCTATTCGCTTCTTGTAAGGCTAAGAGCGAGAGGGGTGGTCTGAGAAAGGAACTTAAAAGGGACAACAAAGCACCGATGTGCTTTTATCCATCAGTACCAAATTTGGGATGGTCTCAAAAAGCCGTCTTAATATCTAGCGGCCTCTCGCGCAATTGATGTTTTTTTCAAAAGATTTTTGCCGACAACAGCGTGTGTTTGATTGTAGGAAAAAGAATATACAAGAGCGTGGGATGGTGTCTATAGAATAAAGATACTCCAACCGCAGCTACAGTATTCTTTTTTCAAAACAACCATCAGGTCGAAAATGCAAGAAAATTAATTTTAACTTTAAAAAAATTATTATGGGCGGCTGTGGGCCCCCTAAACGGCGTGGGCCCCCCCGCATTGCGGGGTCTGGCGGCACTGTAGTTCCGCCCCTGACGGTAGCACTGAGGTGTGTGGGGGGGGGGGGGAACATAATGTTAGCACTGAGGTGTGTGGGACATGCATTAGCACTGAGGTGTGGGGGGATAAGACATTAGCACTGAGGTGTGTGGGGGGATAAGACATTAGCACTGAGGTGTGTGGGGGGATAAGACATTAGCACTGAGGTGTGTGGGGGGGATAAGACATTAGCACTGAGGTGTGTGGGGGGATAAGACATTAGCACTGAGGTGTGTGGGGGGGGGGATAAGACATTAGCACTGAGGTGTGTGGGGGGGGATAAGACATTAGCACTGAGGTGTGTGGGGGGGGGGGATAAGACACTAGCACTGAGGTGTATTGTGGACAAGACATTAGCACTGACCCCTACCGTCAATGATCAGAATTTTACGAACCTTCTATGAAACAACGTAGCCCTACCGTCAATACTGAGATACAAAATCTCGTTGCTGTACGGGAAGTCTCGCGTGATGACCTCGGCTAACATGATGGCAAAGCTGTAGATGTCCGCCTCCCTGCTCCCCCTCTTGTCTCCTGATCTGAGGGTCTCAGGGGCCTTCCATAGACATACTGCAACATATGAGGTTAACATACATATCCACACATACTGCAACATATGGGGTTAACATAAACACATACTGCAACATATGAGGTTAACATACATATCCACACATACTGCAACATATGGGGTTAACATAAACACATACTGCAACATACAAGGTTAACATACATTGTAGGGGCCTTCCATAGACATACTGTAACATATGGGGTTAACATACATATCCACACATACTGCAACATATGAGGTTAACATACATTGTCAACATACTGCAACATATGGGGTTAACATACATATCCACACATACTGCAACAAATGAGGTTAACATACATATCCACACATACTGCAACATATGAGGTTAACATACATATCCACACATACTGCAACATATGAGGTTAACATACATATCCACACATACTGCAACATATGGGGTTAACATACATTGTCAACATACTGCAACATATGAGGTTATCATACATTGTAACACATACTGCAACATATGAGGTTATCATACATTGTCAACATACTGCAACATACATGGTTAACATACATTGTAAACATACTGCAACATATGAGGTTAACATACATTGTAAACATACTGCAACATATGAGGTTAACATACATTGTAACACATACTGCAACATACAAGGTTAACATACATTGTAGGGGCCTTCCATAGACATACTGGAACATATGAGGTTAACATACATTGTAAACATACTGCAACATATGGGGTTAACATACATATCCACACATACTGCAACATATGGGGTTAACATACATTGTAGGGGCCTTCCACAGACATACTGTAACATATGAGGTTAACATACATTGTAACACATACTGCAACATATGAGGTTAACATACATTGTAGGGGCCTTCCACAAACATACTGCAACATATGGGGTTAACATACATTGTAGGGGCCTTCCACAGACATACTGCAACATATGGGGTTAACATACATTGTCAACATACTGCAACATATGAGGTTAACATACATATTAAAAATACATCAACATACAAGCTTAACATACATTGTAGCACATACTGCAACATACGATGTTAACATACATTGAAGGGGCCTTCAACAGACATATATGATACTATATGCAACACTTTGATGATCAAATAATAGAAAATCAATATAATTTTTATTAAATTTTCTAAATTAGTTGTAATTTAAACACACATTGAACGATTGCCTTAGACACATTTATTAAGACGGGTCCTCGCGGTTTTACTCGATTTAATAGGTTTCGTTAAGAAAAAAAAATCTTGGATACTTAATGAAGATTATAGGTTTAAAATGACAGACAGTAGAATCGATATAGTTTCAATTTACTTGATAGCCATTTCATATTTATTAACGCCTCTTACTTACGTCTTAGATTGCGAAATATATTTCAGTACTATAAAAAGATTTCGAGGATTTGCGATTTTCATCGAAGCTTTTGCTCAGAAAATATGCTAAATTTACACGGAATTTACCCAAAGCTCAAGTGAACTGTAAACTAATATTTAAGCTCACATAGACTATGTGGTAAAATGTAAAGGTTAAATGGGCTGTGCAATTAGCTCCGAGATTCATTAATAATTAATTATATTATATATCATCTTTAAAAAGGTTTAGACTTTCTGATCCAAATTAAGAAAGTTAAATTCTAACAAAACAATCAGAATTCCGATACTGACGCCGATGGACGTAGAAGAAAAGTTAAACAAGATGATGAACACCAACATAAACACACGGAGACTACACAAACAAATACAAATAAAAAGTCAGACTGTGAATTCACTGGAACAAATATTGATTGACAAGATTAATATAACAAAAACTAGGTAAAAGCTCAAAAACATACTTCACTTTATAAAACATCGCTGTACTATCATTAGGAATAACAGCTATTTTTTGACAAAGCATTATCTTTAATTCATGTAATTACCGAAGAATCCTTTTATAACCGAGGTTTAAAATGCTTTTAACATTAGCTTAATTGAAATGTAATTAGAATCTGGAGTAGTTCTAATCAAATTACAGTTTCAGATTCGTGAACTGATTTTTGTTTTTCTTACTCGTAGGCCTACAGCACAAATGTTCTTGGTGAATGTTGACAGTAAAAATTACATTTGGTCATACGTGCAGAAATATGTCAGAAACCATTGCAAAAATTAAATAAACACTTAATTTTCGTTGTTTTAGTAAACTGGACATTGTCGTGACCATCACCACTTTTAATCAGCAAGTAGTTAGTTACAACAACATTAGGCTAATGCACTGGTCACGTCTTGTTGATAGACGTCAACCTTGACATAAAGATTATAAAACACTTGTATGTATCGAAAAACACATACACACACATATACAAACATACCATAACATACACTCAATACAAGCCTTAGTAAGTACGCAAATATCATACGGAACTTAAGCTTTGAGATCACCTCAACTATACACTTATAGGGGTCGTTCATAAATGACGTCACACTCGTAGGGGAGAGGGGTTCCGTAATTTTGTGACGGTGTGTGATGAGGGGGAGGGGGGGGGGAGGTTCAGTTGGTGCGACGTCACACTTTTGATTATAAAAAAGAAATGTAAGAAAACGAATTTTAGACGTAATTTCGCGTTTTAGAAAACTGTTTTAATAATTTGTAATAGGAATTGATTAAAAGACTATATTTTGACATAGTTCAGACAAGATTTTGGAAAAATATCGATTTAAAAAAAAAATTCAACTGCAATTTTGAGGGGGTGGGGTTGTAGGCTGAGATGTGACGTCATTTTAGGGGGTCTCGCTTTTTGTGACGATGTGTGACGGAGGGGAAGGGATGGAGGTAAAAATCGTAAAAAAAGCGTGACGTCATTTATGGATCACCCCATATATATATATATATATATATATATATATATATATATATATATATATATATATATATATATATATATATATATATATATATATATATATATATATATATATATATATATATATATATATATATATATATATATATATATATATATATATATATATATATAAAGTAATACTAAAAATTGTACTACCTACAGTTGATACCAATAGTGCAGCTACCTAAAAGTTCTACTAAATGTGCTACTTAAAGTGATTATACCTACATGTGCTACCGAAAGTGCTACTACCTACATGTGCTACTAAAAGTGCTACTAAATGTGCTACAGAAAGTGCTACTACCTACATATGCTACCTAAAGTGCTACTACCTACATGTGCTACTAAAAGTTCTACTACCTACAGGCGCTACGGAAAGTGCTACTACTTACATGTGCTACCTAAAGTGCTACTACCTACATGTGCTACCTAAAGTGCTACTACCTACATGTGCTACCAAAAGTGCTACTACCTACATGTGCTACTAAAAGTACTTCTAAATGTGCTACCTAAAGTGCTACTACCTACATGTGCTACTGAAAGTGCTACTAAATGTGCTACCTAAAGTACTACTACCTACATGTGCTACCGAAAGTGCTACCGAATGTGCTACTAAAAATGCTACTACCTACAGTTTTTGTACTCCTGTGAGTTGACATCCTCCCCCAGCCGCGAGTAGAGAGACGGCAGACCAAAGTCTGAGAGCTTGACAGAAAATCTGTTGTCTACTAGACAGACTTCGCTGTTCAGTCGACCGTGACATCGTATGGGGCTCTCGTGTAGGTAACATAATCCCTGTAGACACATACACATATATTGTGTAGGTAACATAATCCCTGTAGACACATACACATATATCGTGTAGGTAACATAATCCCTGTATATCAAACAAATACACATATATCGTGTAGTTAACATAGTAACTGTATGTCAGTCACATACACATACATCGTGTAGGTAACATAGTCCATGTATGTGAGACACATACACATATATCGTGTAGGTAACATAATCCCTGTATGTCAGACACATATACATATATCCTTAAGGTAACATAATCCCTGAATGTCAGACACATATAGATATATCATTAAGGTAACATAATCCCTGTATGTCAGACACATATAGATATATCCTTAAGGTAACATAATCCCCATATGTCAGACACATATCCATATATCCTTAAGGTAACATAATCCCTGTATATCAGACACATATACATATATCGTGTACATAATATTGTCACTGTATGTCAGACACATATATCATACACATAAATCTTAAATGTCATTAACATACATTTCCATGACACACTAACTGATCAAATAATCCTAATTCATCACTTTTTTAAAAAACCTAATCCTACTTTGTTAAGGTTAAGTCGAACCATGTTTAATTAGATAATGATGTAGTGAGATTATGCAATAACCATTTTGAATGTAATCGTCAATGATTTCAGTGATGATGTAATGATATATTCCATGCTATATACTTACGTTATAGATTATTTATTTTTCAGCAAACTTACTTTGTTGAATAAGAAATGAATTAACAAGACTTGCCTTTTACAATTTTAACTTAGTTTTGGCTATTACAAACTGCATACGTTAATAATTTAATGCGATTGATAATGTTACGGTATAAAAATATGATAATTAAACAATTTTAGAAACACTAAACTTTAAAGATTGGATGATTTAGAAAAAAACTGCTTTTCAAACATGCTTACATTGATGATGTAATGATATAAGAAAACTGCTTATATTTTTTAATGTAACAATATAAGAAAACTGCTTTCATTGATGATGTAACGATATAAGAAAACTGCTTATATTGATGATGTAATGATATAAGAAAACTGCTTACATTGATGATGTATGGTTATAAGAAAACTGCTTACATTGATGATGTAATGATACAAGAAAACTGCTTACATTGATGATGTAGTGGTATGATAAAATTGCTTCCGTGTATGATGTAATGATACAAGAAAACTGCTTACATTGATGATGTAACGGTATGATAAAACTGCTTACGTGTATGGTGTAATGATACAAGAAAACTGCTTACATTGATGATGTAACGGTATGATAAAACTGCTTACGTGTATGGTGTAATGATACAAGAAAACTGCTTACATTGATGATGTAATGATATAAGAAAACTGCTTACATTGATGATGTCAGTACACAAGGAAAACTTGAACTGAGCGTCCAGTGTAACGTTGGTGTTGCCTAGGAGATCCTGTAAGTGTTGAGAGATTTGGACCAGTTAGATACAAGTAGGATTGGTTTTGTGCTAGCCTGCATAATCAGCTGTAGTGAACCTTTAATGCAGTGTTTGACTCACCTGTAGGGAACTTTGCCTTCGTCTCTGACTTACCTGTAGAGAACCTTTATTTCAGTGTTCTACCTCCTGACTTACCTGTTGGGAACATTTACTGCAGTGTTCCACCACGTGTGTAGGGAACCCTTACTGCAGTGTTCAATCACCTGTATGGAACCTTTAATGCAGTGTTTGACTCGCCTGTAGGGAACGTTGCCTGTCGTCTCTGACTTACCTGTAGAGAACCTTTATTTCAGTGTTCCACCTCCTGACTTACCTGTTTGGAACCTTTACTGTAGTGTTCCACCACCTGTGTAGGGAACCCTTACTGCAGTGTTCAATCACCTGTATGGAACCTTTAATGCAGTGTTTGACTCGCCTGTAGGGAACGTTGCCTGTCGTCTCTGACTTACCTGTAGAGAACCTTTATTTCAGTGTTCCACCTCCTGACTTACCTGTTGGGAACCTTTACTGTAGTGTTCCACCACCTGTAGGGAACCTTTACTGCAGTGTTCCACCACCTGTAGGGAACCTTTACTGCAGTGTTCCACCACCTGACTCACCTGTAGGGAACCTTTACTGCAGTGTTCCACCACCTGACTTACCTGTAGGGAACCTTTACTGCAGTGTTCCACCACCTGTAGGGAACCTTTACTGCAGTGTTCCACCACCTGTAGGGAACCTTTACTGCAGTGTTCCACCACCTGACTTACCTGTAGGGAACCTTTACTGCAGTGTTCCACCACCTGACTTACCTGTAGGGAACCTTTACTGCAGCGTTCCACCACCTGACTCACCTGTAGGGAACCTTTACTGCAGTGTTCCACCACCTGACTCACCTGTAGGGAACCTTTACTACAGTGCTCCACCACCTAACTCACCTGTAGGGAACCTTTACTGCAGTGTTCCACCACCAAGGCGTGCAGGTTTTCTTCCAGGCACGCGCCAAATATTCTCAACAAGTTGTTGTGGCTCAGTTCTCGTACCTGGCAATACGAAAAGTCTGTTTAGTGCCAAGTTATACAGTCTATGTACTGCGATTATCTGGCTTAGATATATAACAGTCTATGTAGTGACATTCTCTGACTTAGATATGTAACACACTATTGTTTGTGAGATCCTTGCTTTAGATATATAATAAAACATCCGTTAAGTTATCATTTATGTGGAACAGATGCATACTGTAATTTTTTCAACGATTTGATCAATATTTATTTAAATTAATTATTCTTTTACCTATAAACTAAAACCAATTAAATAATTCCATGATCGTGCTACTTAATTACAATTATACAACGAAGTATTTTCACTATCCAACGCAGGATACCTAATCCGATGATATAGCTACCTTCTCAAATAACATATCTACCTGATACTATTCTAGATCTACCTAATCCAATGTAGGTGCTACCTAATTGATTATATACATGCTTAACGTTCCAACGCAGGTTACTTAATCCGATGATATAGCTAGCTCATCAAACGACAAAGCTACGTGACCAGTGCCGGCGCCTGGATATTTAGCGCCCTAGGCAAAACTTTTTAAAAGCGCCTCCCCCCCCTCAAACTTTCGATTTGCACCCTCTCCCCCTCAAACTTTCGATTTGCACCCCCCTAAAACATTCGATTTGCAACCCCCTCCCCCTCAAACTTTTGATTTGCACCCCTAAAACATTCGATTTGCACCCCCCTCAAACTTTCGATTTGCACCCCCCTAAAACATTCGATTTGCAACCCCCTCCCCCTCAAACTTTTGATTTGCACCCCTAAAACATTCGATTTGCACCCCCCTCAAATTTTCGATTAGCACCCCCACTCAAACTTTCAATTTGTTTTTCCAACCCATTTAGGCGCCCCCCTACGGACAGCGCCTAGTTCGCCTTATAGGAAGCGCCGGCGCTGTACGTGATTCAATACTAGTGCTACCTAATCCAATGCAGGAGTTACCTAATTAATGATGTAGATGCTCACCATTTTAAACTCCAACAGCAGGTTGTCGGTCTGCTTCAGGGGGTAGGCAGGTAGAGACCTCAGTCTCACCATCTGACCCTGTTGTTATAAAACTATGAGAGTATTTGTCAGGGTGAATCTATGTAAGTGTAATCTGTGCGCTTACACTTCGACTTACGTTGTTCATTTAAGTTAAGTTACATTGCAGGTTTGGTATTATTAGAAAGCTAAGTACAATTAATTAAAATTTACATAAGCATTTACTTGATTTACTATTATTATATTTTATTATTTTTATTATGTGAGTTTAATATATTAACTTCATCAAATTGATGTTTTTTATTGCTTCGGATTGAGTGTATTGTGTTTCAGATTAAAATATAAGTATTTTTTGTGCTTTTTCTAATTTAGGGCCTATATTGCTTGAAATCGAAGAGTTATAAAAAAGTAACAAATTTCACAGACTTGATCTATAAATTTATAGGCCTATAGATGTTGATTTACAATATAGAAAAAAAGTAAAAAAATCACTTTTAACCTAGCGATCCATTGGGCACATGAAGTAGTGTTCATTTGATTCTTGACATCGGCATATGAACGGATTGTGTGGTCAGTACTTTGCCCAGCCGCCTTTACTTTCCCTAACGTGAGTTAGGTACCCATTAGGGCTGGATGGACTCAGGGCCACTCTACTAACTTGAACCCTTATTCGAGCTCGATATTTACAGGAAAGCGCTTTACAGTTTAGGCCACGCCGTCCCATTTTAGATTTAGAAAATACTTTTTTAAAATAATTTTTTTAAAGTTATAAATCTAAACGTACTTACTCTAAACACTGCCAACAGACCATCTTTCGGACCTTGAGACTCGCTGTCCACCCTTGACCCTCGTAGACTTGTCTATTTAAAAACAACAAGTAATTTATTTAAGTTGAAAGTGACCGAACTTCGAAAAAAAGTTGTATTTCCTTACAGACATCATAAAAACACTTACAAGCTTCATGAAAACATCGAAGACTACACTCTATTTCCCCTATTTCTTTGTCGATTTAGATTTTACTATGCTTTTCTCCAAACTGTAAACATTCATTTTAAAAATGATTTTGTTTAAAATTTAATCTAATCGTTTGACGGAAATTTTCTTTGACCTGCCTACGTACAGTTCAAACAACTAATTTCATCTAACTTTACCTGCAACAACAATGGTTTATGGGTTGCCTTTGCTGGAAATAAATTCACAATTACCCCATACAAGAAAAGTACATTGATTTTCTCCGCGTAAAAAATAGATTTGTTGTTGAAGTTTTCCAAGCACATTTTGTTTTTTATCAATTTTCTAACCAGAATGCATTCTACTTGAACCCCCCCCCCCCCTCTCTCTCTCTGTACAAAGTTCATACTAAGGTCAAGGTTAAGGATGTGGATGGTGTCAGAGGAGACACACTTGTTGACACACCTATTATATAACAAGTGTGTCTGCCATGGTTCTGAAATTCAGCGACACCTTGACGTAACAAAAATGGGGGGGCGGGGGAAGGAGGATTAGTGGTAATGAAGATAGAGGAATATATAGATATGCAAGTCAATTTCACCAAAATAAAAGAATTATACCTCACAATAATTCTAAAAATGCCCTGAATTTCGCTTTAAAATATTCGCTTACTTCAAGATGCAAACAACATGGAACAGCTACCTACAGAGGATCTTCATTGATCATGTCTAGCTGAGTCAAAAGTTGACTTACTTAATGTAGTAGCCTTTACTTTTACTGATGGACGTAGATCACCTGACTAAAACACGACTTACTATAACTACATGACTTAGAACTTGACTTAGAATTCGAACTACTTGAACAACTTGACAGAACTTGATTAAAAACTTGATTTTGAACATGACTGAGAGCTTGACTTAGAACTTGACTTAATGCATGAAGCAACCACTACACTTATTACTGAACTAACTGTAAATACCTGACTTACAAGTTGATTAGACCTTGACTTATACCTTGACTTAGACCTTGACTTAGACCTTGACTTAACTGAGACCTTGACTTAACTGAGACCTTGACTTACTCCACGAGGCAACCACTACACATGTTGCTGTACTTACTAGAACTCCCTGACTTAGAACTTGACTTAAAACTTGACCTAGAACTTAACTTAGACCTTGAATTAGAACTTGACTTAGACGTTGACTTAGAAGTTGACTTACTCCACAAAGCAACCACTACACATGTTGCTGTACTTACTACAACTACTTGACTTAGAAGTAGACTTACTCCACGAAGCAACCACTACACATGTTGCTGTACGTACTACAACTACCTGACTTAGAACTTGACTTACTCCACGAAGCAACCACTACACATGTTGCTGTACTAACTACAACTACCTGACTTAGAACTTGACTTAAAACTTGACTTACTCCACGAAGCAACCACTACACATGTTGCTGTACTTACTACAACTACTTGACTTAGAACTTGACTTAGAACATGACTTACTCCACGAAGCAACAACTACACATGTTGCTGTACTTACTACAACTACCTGACTTAGAAATTGACTTAGACCTTGACTTAGAACTTGACTTACCCCACGAGGCAACCACTACACATGTTGCTGTACTTACTACAACTACCTGACTTAGAACTTGACTTACTCCACGAAGCAACAACTACACATGTTGCTGTACTTACTACAACTACCTGACTTAGAACTTGACTTAGAACTTGACTTACTCCACGAAGCAACCACTACACATGTTGCTGTACTTACTACAACTACCTGACTTAGAACTTGAATTAGACCTTAACTTACGGTATGAAGCAACCACTACACATGTTGCTGTACTTACTACAACTACCTGACTTAGAACTTGACTTACTCCACGAAGCAACCACTACACATGTTGCTGTACTTACTACAACTACCTGACTTAGATCTGGACTTACTCCACGAAGCAACCATAACACATGTTGCTGTACTTACTACAACTACTTGACTAAGAACTTGACTTACTCCACGAAGCAACCATAACACATGTTGCTGTACTTACTACAACTACGTGACTTAGAACTTGACTTACTCCACGAAGCAACCATAACACGTGTTGCTGTACTTACTACAACTACCTGACTTAGAACTTGACTTACTCCACGAAGCAACCACTACACATGTTGCTGTACTTACTACAACTACATGACTTAGAACTTGACTTAGAACTTGACTTACTCCACGAAGCAACCACTACACATGTTGCTGTACTTACTACAACTACCTGACTTAGAACTTGACATAGAACTTGACTTAGACCTTGACTAAGACCTTGACTTAGAACTTGACTTACTCCACGAAGCAACCACTACACATGTTGCTGTACTAACTACAACTACTTGACTTAGAAGTAGACTTACTCCACGAAGCAACCACTACACATGTTGCTGTACTAACTACAACTACTTGACTTAGAACTTGACTTACTCCACGAAGCAACCACTACACATGTTGCTGTACTTACTACAACTACCTTTGAGGTGATGGACAAGATGGAGTGTGTGAACTTCCGGTCAGTGATGAAGAGGTCAGAGGGGTCAATCTTCCACCACCACAAGTCCTGCTGGCTCTGTTTCTTCCAGCGTCTGTGTCACGTGACAGGGGGGGGGGGGTAATATAGACAAGAGGTGGTACAGGAAATATGTGATACAGCACGACACATATATGTCTAATACATATATATATATATATATATATATATATATATATATATATATATATATATATATATATATATATATATATTTATATATATATAAGTTAAATAGATATTGGTTATAAAAATCAAAAGATTTTGTTTAAATAATAGTCATAAAAAGATTATAAAATATTTATTTCCTATTTATAATTTATGTGTATTATTTTTTAGCAGTGAGGAATAGGGAGATGTGTGGACCTGCTCCGGGAGAGAAGGAAGTCCCCACACTCGGTATGAAGCCTTTGAGAAATACTGCCCCCCCCCCCCCCCTCCAGCATTAAAACAAGTTAATAAAAAGTCTAGTGACAATTTAAGCGCAATTTCCTTATGTTATCTAAAAATAGCTCTGTCGTAGCGTAAAGCACACACGGGGACAAAACACAAAACGTATAATGCTGGGGTGCGTTCAAGCTAGGAGAACGATCGGTTTGTAGGTGTTTATGTAATTTAAAAAAAAAATTGTGACCGAGCGAAAGGATATTTTTGAAAACTTTCTTCGGCAATATTGTTCTAAATTATAGCAGGAAACGATTGGTAAATGTTTCAAGTCGCTAAGTGGTCTGGTTGCCGAGATATGGGCCAAACACTGCATTTTTTCGAGGTTTTTTGTCTTTTCCGGGAAATCAAGGAAGGAATTCTGGGAATTATTTTGGCCCACAATCATCCTCGGAACTTGCTTAACATATTTGCTTTGGAACTAGTCCTCGATATTGCTTCGTTGAGGAGGAGATACGACTTAAAGCTGCGGACACACATCGGACACACATCCTTGACGAGTTAATAATCGCAATTGTCCGTATGGAAATTGCGCTAAAAAAACTCACCTGAACAGAAACAGAGACACAATACCCCCAATAAAGATGGCCGCACCAAAAAATCCAGCCAGTCCACCAATGATCTGTGATCTTTCTAAAAACAAATCAAGAACAAAACATGGGAGGGGGGGGGGGGGTTAATCAAATTGATAAAGTTGTTTTGTTGTATAAATAAAAATACAGAATTTATTTTATATTAGAGTTGCGGTTTCAAAGCTTTAATTATCTTGTCTAGACTCGCTTCATTATTTAGAAAGCCACTTGAAAATCGTTTTTTATTAAAGCTAATTTTTTTTCCGAGATGGGACTAATATAATAAAAATAGGCATGTAGGCCTATTTGGGTTTGTGGCTGCAGTAAGAAAAAAAAATGGCAAATATAACCCACGCTACTGGGAGACAATCACACATCTGTTTAATTAAACTAAATGTCACACTGGCCATCTAGTCTGAGAGGTTAACGGTTTATTGTGCTGTTACAGATCCTGTGACTAATTTTTTTTTAACGGTGTGTCCCTTTTTGTTTAACTTGTTTTATAAATTTGTGTTATGGAGTAAGCTAGAATTTACTGTTCAATGAACACACAAGAATTAATGGGGTAGTTTCTACAAGAAGGTAAACTCGAATGCGAGGTTTTTTAAACAAGTGGTTCACCAAAGGCATAGGGCAAAACCAAGACAAGGAGAGACAATTTTCAAAAATTCTTCTACCATGACTAGGGCTTAATCTCCGTTCACGAAGACAGAGACAGAATATTCTTTTACACTTTCTCATAGACAAATGCAGAGTTTCCAAATGTTTAATAGAAAAAGGAAGAATTATCTTCCAAGTTCTCTCATAGACAGAGCCCTTCCAAATGGTTAACAGAAAAGGGCAGAATTCTCTTTCAAATTTCCTGGTAGACAAGGGCAGTATCCACTTTAAAAAAAGGACCAAATACTATTTAACTCTGCACAGAATGGCAAGGGAAAGAACTCACCCGATGACTGGCAGCGGTCCCCAGCAAACCCACATGTGGGTTCATTGCCCGGCGCTTTACCTCCATTGTAGGGCCACGGAAATGTTGAGCTATTGCTGAAGGTGATTTTTTTCTTCGCGGAGTCGTAGAGGGCATATTTCTGTGGAATATTTGTAGGCATATTTCTATGGGCTATTTGTAGAGGGCATATATCTGTTGAATATTTGCAGAGGGTATATTTATTTGCAATATTTGTAGAGGACATATTTCTTAGGAATATTTGTAGAGGCCATATTTCTGTGGAATATATGTACTATGCAGATTTCTATGTAATTATTGTTGAAAATATCTCTTTGGAATATGTGTATATTCTGTGGAATATTTGTAGAATGTATATTTTGGTGAAATATTTGTATAGTCTATACAAATATTTCATAACTTTAAAACGGAATGTCCAATTTTGAAAAAGTAAACTGTTTTGTCTTAATCTGATGTAGCTCTTTAAGATGATATGCTTTTTAACCTAGGTAAATCATTTTAAAAATTTTCTCAAAGTCCCTAGTATAGAACTGTAAGTCATATTTATATAAAATAATTATTTACAATATATTTCTGTGGAATAGTTACATTGAGTATATTTCTATGTAATGTTTGTATATGGTATATTTCTACGGCGTGTTTATATTAGAATTAAGGCTAAATGGAACCGAAAGCTAGCTGTTGGGTGACCCAGAAGAAGAAGATTTCTGTATACCTGAAACCTGCCTGTTGTCGGGTTTATGGCTGTGATTGTGACGTCAGAGAATCTGTCGCCATCTTTGTTGACGGCTACATTACCCAAGATCCCTAAAACAGTGAAAGACAGTGGCACTCTAGAATCAAATTGGAGTTACTCAGCTTAGAGTCAACTCAGTGTGATGTTAGAATTAATTTACAGTCATAATTATTATTCGTAGGTAGGCAGATTAATTTAGAGTCATAAATTATTAATTCGTAGGTAGGCAGATTAATTTACAGTCATAATTATTAATTCGTAGGTAGGCAGATTAATTTAGAGTCATAAATTATTAATTCGTAGGTAGGCAGATTAATTTAGAGTCATAAATTATTAATTCGTAGGTAGGCAAATTAATTTAGAGTCATAAATTATTAATTCGTAGGTAGGCAAATTAATTTAGAGTAATAAATTATTAATTCGTAGGTAGGCAAGTGTTTTGAACATTTGCTTATCTTTGATAAGTTTAATTGTAGGTGAAAGACTCGGCTTTCACCGTGGTTTAAAAACAAAGGGAAAAAGAATATACAAGAGCGTGGGGTGGTGTCTATAGAATAAATATAATCCAACCGCAGCTACGGTAATTTTTTACAAAACAACCATCAAGTCAAAAATGAAAGAAAATTTACTTTTTTTTTAACTATAAAATTTTTTATTAATGGTCGGCTCTGGGCCCCTAAATGGCGTGGGCCCCCCGCATTGCGGGGTCTGGCGGCACTGTAGTTCCGCCCCTGGACCCAACTTGCAGGAATCGCCCAAGTACGATGTGAGAGGTGTAGTAGCGTCCCTAAGCTCCACAAGGTGCCCACAAAAATTATTATGATGATGACATAAATTATACTTAGAGTCAGCAAGTCTTATTTGAGAATTGATCTAGCTTCAGAGTATATGGTATACTTAGAGTTAGTTTAGTGTTTATTAGATTAGAATTAGAGTCACCACGCACAGTCTACTTAAAGTCAACGTTTTACTGATTCTAGTTGTAGTAGCATTGGATTTATATAAAAAAAAATAAAGTATAAACATACAATAACGTCTAGTACAAACTTCAGGCATGCAATGAAATGTAGATCAATAGCTCATCTTTAAAACAGAATTGGCAGGTAGTTGAAAACAATCCAAATAGTACTTAAGACAAAATAGTGTTTAATTATTAGACCAAACCGTTCGGTTAAATTAAAGCAACCGTCTAAGTTCAGGTTAAATTAGACCAACCGTCAATGAATCGGTTAAAAATAGAACAACCGTCATGGGTTCGGTTAAATTAGACCAACCGTCAATGAATCGGTTAAAAATAGACCAACCGTCATGGGTTCGGTTAAATTAGACCAACCGTAAAAGGTTCGTTTAAGTCAAACCCAACTTCAAAGGTTCGGTTAAATTAGACGTTCGGTTAAACTAGACCAACCGTAAAATGTACGTTTAAATTAGACCAACCGTCAAAGGTTCGGTTAAACTAGACCAACCGTCAAATGTACGTTTAAACTAGACCAACCGTCAAATGTACGTTTAAATTAGACCAACCGTCAAATGTACGTTTAAATTAGACCAACCGTCAAATGTACGTTTAAATTAGACCAACCGTCAAATGTACGTTTAAATTAGACCAACCGTCAAAGGTTCGGTTAAACTAGACCAAACGTCAAAGGTTCGGTTAAATTAGACCAACCATCAAAAGTTCGTTTAAATTAGACCAACCGTCAAAGGTGCGGTTCCAGAGCCGTCTTGTGATTGCCAGACCGTCGAAAGGATTCTCCCCTGCAGTCAGGCTCTCGTTGACAACTGTGGCGTACATCTTGACAGCGTCGTAGTACTGGGCCAACACCGTGCTGGGCTGGAGGGGAGGGGTTGGGAGAGGTTGTAGAAGTGAGCCATTTATGGTGGGTCGTTCATAGTAAGTAGTTCATAGAGGACTATCATTGTGAACCATTCATACTGTCTTTAATAGTGAGCCATTCATAATGAGCCTTTCATTATGAGCCATTCATAATGAGTTAATTGTAATAAGCCATTCATAATTAGCCATTCATAGTTAGTTATTCATAATGAGCCATTCATACTGAGCCATTCATAATGAGCAGTTCTATCTAGAAAACATTGGACCACGACAACAGAGCACTAAAACAGTGAAACAAATAGAAGAAAGTCTTTAATTTCTAAGAGAAGAGAGCCTGGCCTAACATTGATGTGGGCTTCATAAGTCCGGGTCAGCCAAGGCCAATAATAGCAAGACAGACATCTGCACTTTGCTGCTAAGCCAGGGCCGGTAACTCGATAGTCCTGTTTTTTAAAGGCGTAGATAGGCGTAAACGTATTGTTGACTACAAAAATGGTTTCTCAGAAGTTTTGTCCTCAAATTGAAAAGAAAATTACCCTTGATGTAAAATCAATATAATGCTTTAAACAATTAAACACGTTTTTTTTTCCAGAGATAGTTTTTTTATAACCAACATTTAGTTTAAGGGTAAAGAAAAAAGTATTGTCTAACGTTTCAATGGAAAGCATTTAAATCGATTGAACTGAAAAAGTAAGGATTTTCTTTTTACTGTTACGCCTCCCCCCCCCCCCCACGTTCCCACATGTCCCCTCCGCCCATCCCGCCCCTCTAACTTCTCTGCAGAACGTTGAATCACCATGGAAAAAAGTATTTGCGTTTTTAATTTTTTGAAAAAATGAATTTAAACGATTTATATTACGTGCAAGTAAACTATTTTCAATGAATGAAAGTGCATGTGAGAAAAAAGTATTACTATTGTAAATCTGTATCAGTCCTCACAAGCCGATGATGAAAACTGTAATACTAAAGCAAACATGCAAGGCAAACTGACGCTGTCACAAACTTTCGATTTGAACTTTTGCTTTACACACCACCCCCCCCCAATTTGTTTTTCCAAACCATTTTGGCGCCCCTCCTAAGGTCGACGCCCGGGGACATATACCCCCCCCCCTCGCGACGCCTCTGCTGTCAATTACATGTCTGAGGCAAACAATGAAAACACGGACAAAGGTGTCTGTGAATGCAAGATTGCTTATTTACGTAAGAAGTAAATTGTCTGTTTCTGTTAGGAAGGCGGGGGGGGGGGGAGGAGTGTATTTAGCAGAGAGTATGTTGGTGGAAATGTGTGTAGCGTAGAGGTGTGTGCGTATGTGATTGTGTTTATGTATGTAAGATGGAGATTGTGTAGGTAAAGGAGTGTGTGTGTGTATTTGTAGGTGAATGTATGTCTGTAAAAACGAAAGGGTAATAAGTGTGTAAGTGAGAGTGCGTATTTGTAAGGGTGTGTGTTTGTTGGGGTGCGTGCTTGTGAGAGTGGGTGTTTGTGAGGGTGGGTGTTTGTGAGAGTGGGTGTTTGTGAGGGTGGGTGTTTGTGTGTGTGTTTGTGAGGGTGTGTGTTTGTGAGTGTGTGTTTGTGAGGGTGTGTGTTTGTGTGTATGTGTTTGTGAGGGTGTGTGTTTGTGAGTGTGTGTTTGTGAGGGTGTGTGTTTGTGAGTGTTTGTTTGTGAGGGTGTGTGTTTGTGAGTGTGTGTTTGTGAGGGTGTGTGTTTGTGTGTATGTGTTTGTGAGGGTGTGTGTTTGTGAGTGTGTGTTTGTGAGGGTGTGTGTTTGTGTGTGTGTGTTTGTGAGGGTGTGTGTTTGTGAGTGTGTGTTTGTGAGGGTGGGTGTTTGTGAATTTGTGTTTGTGTAGGTGTGTGTTTGTGAGGCTGTCTGTTCTTATTTAAGGGACAAGAACGTGTGTATATATGTAAAGCAAAAAATTTGGTAAAAAATAAATCAATGTAAGTGTGTGGATTCGGAGTGTGTGTGTATGTGTGTGAGAGAGAAACAAAATTGTTGTTTATGCTGTATGGCATACACTTCTAAAGTAAAAAAAAATATTTTAAAAAAACGGTATTGCTTTTTTGATTGTTTATCTAACCGATCTGAGATATTTATTCTCTCAACCCTTTTACAAAACCATCATCTCAAAACAACAACTTCAACAAATATTTGCATGATTCAGGTGCTATAATAACCAGATTAATTTTAAACACACGTAATTAAACACTAATCTTGTGTCAGCTTGCTGCAAAAATCATAAACCTTGTTTAATTTAACGCGGGAAGTGTCCACGTTTTCCCTTGTGTGTCGGCTGCATGATTTGTTTGCTATGTTTGGTTTTCAGAAATTCCTGTTTGCTAATATCGTCCGCTCGTAATCGATACACAATTTAGAATTTAGAATGCAATCCAAGCTGGCAAAAATTAGTTAAAACAAGAGAATGTGCATATCGACTGCAGAGATTACGATTAATTAGTATTTTTAACAACAAGGCAGCTTAGGATAATGTTAATGTTGTTAGATTTTACAGGGGTGGACTGTGTTCAAGAGCCTAGGGAGTTTTTTGATAGGGCCCCAACCCCAGATTAAAATTGTCATTGTTCATTTTTTTCCTATCAGAGCCTGCTGACCATTCTCAATTTGACGGAAATTTACGCGGCAAATTTTAAAAACAAAATTCACTAATATGCATAATATAGCTCCGTTTCTCTCGGGCAGATGAGGTTCATTAGCTGGGGACAGCCACTCTTCTAGGAGAGACAACTCCAAAAGCAAACAACTGCTGCCTTGTAGTTTGTTCTTGGTTGGACAAAGGCTATGGAAGCAAATCCAAAAAGAAAAGCAGGCTGAAATCGGAGTCAATGGCCTAAATAGCGCATAACCAGTTGACACGTATCCTTAATTGTGTTGGAGGCGTGGAAGAGTCGGCAAAAAGCACATGGTTGATAAATTCGAAAAAGTCTCGAGTTCAAACCCTCTGGTAGATATGGCTCGATCCCTTCCAACACTGAAAATTAAGAACGGAGAAGAAGAAGCTCCGTTTCTGAAGTGCAACGTGATTTTTTTTTTACATGGGTACCCACTGGGATTTTTTTTTACTTCGGGGCCCACCGAGATTTGTTACTTGGGGTCCCATCTGAATACTTTACCTGGGGGCGAATGCGGATTTTTTTTACCTATGGGGCCGACCGAGATTTTCCCCGGTAGCTTGCAGGGCAGTCCAACCCAGGTTGGAAAAATTCCCTGATTTGTTTTATTTGTATGGTAAACACACGGGATTTATAAAATATTTTAATGAAGGTGAAATTATTTAAATATTATACCTGGAAGTTATGCAACATACATAATCGACCTAAAATTGTCATTTTTGTTTATCAAAATCATTTTTCCTATATTGGTGTGAAAGTTATTATTTTTTAATAGCCTATACTTGCTCAATATGAATTTTGAGACTTTGCGTCAAAACAATGGTGTCATACAGATTGTGTGATTCTCTGATTCTATTTTTAAATGTAAAGACTGATACAAAGATTGCTATAACGCAAAAGGAATAGAATTCTCTTTATACCAATACGACGTTAAACTTCCCTATATAGTGTGTATATGTGAATGCAGGTACGTAAGTTCTTGTATGAATGTAATGAGCTCAGCCTTCCAAAGTTTATCAGCTTCCCCAGAAAGCAAACAGAAATTCCCGTTTGATCTAAGATTTCAATTTGAATTTTATGCAGCGGTGAAAGCAATAATTGGACAGGAACTGAGAGACCTGCGACATGACAGAAATTAGAGAAAAAAACAAGGAGCCTGAAGGAAACTGTGTGGAGTACGAGGACGTATAAATGTTTATTTAGTGGAGATTTACTGCCTGATAATGCAATCACAAGAAAAATGTGGAACTTATAAAGACAAGGACATAAGGATTTCTTAAATCTTATGCTGTTTTGTGTACCTACAGTGGCTTTAACAACTCACATATATACCTATACCTATATACAGGGGCGTAGCGAGGGGGGGGGGCGGGGGGTGCGGACCGCACCGGGTGACACCATTTAGGGGGGTGACACCAAGGCAAAAAATAGCAAAATATATAGAAAAAAACTCGAGGGGGGGTGCAAATCGAAAGTTTGAGGGGGGGGGGGTGCAAATCGAAAACTCGAGGGGGGGGGGGTGCAAATCGAAAGTTTGAGGGGGGGGGGGGGTGCAAATCGAAAATTTGAAAGTTTGTCCCTGGGAAGGGTCTCTATGCCTCTGGGGGGGGGGGGGGGTGACGCCATTAAGTGCCGCACCGGGTGACACCCTACCTCGCTACGCCACTGCCTATATATATATATACCTATTTACTTTATACATATATATATATATATATATATTTACTTTATATATATATATATATATATATATATATATATATATATATATATATATATATATATATATATATATATATATATATATATATATATATTTATTTATTTATTTATATATACATACATACACACACACATATATATATATATATATATATATATATATATATATATATATATATATATATATATATATATATACTTTTCGAACCTGACGGTCCAAGGGGCAAATAAAGTTGAAATCACCCAGATATATAAAGTAATAGTGAGGTCGTCATTATGTCCAGCTGCCTTTACGTTTATTAATATGAGTTAGTTACCCATTAGAGCTGGGTGGACACAGGAACATCCAGAGTTTCTTCCAGGCATCTCTTCGGGGATGGGATGGAGTGGTCTAGCAGTAGAGTGCTATACTGCTAACCCGTAAGTCTCGAGTTCGAATCCGGGTACAAGAGATAGAATTTATATAGTAAACATACACTTTTACTCCTGTCCGCCCCGCCCCCCCCCCCCCTCGAAAAATGTTGACCGTCTCCCCCCCCCCCCCCGAAAAAATATCAAGTGCCCTTCCCCCCCCCCCCCCCCACCCCCCCACCCCGGAGAAAAAAGTCTGGAAGAAACACTGGGGACATCCTGCAGGTTAAAGCCAAGGATCTGAACACGTACACCCATAGAGACTAACAAAGATCACTTATACGTCAGGAGACTATTATCATGACTAATCACGTGACCAGCCACGTGACCAAACCCTACCACGTGACTGTGACTAAGCCCAGTACACACCTCCTCGGTCTGGTAGTCGTAGTTAAAATACTGCAGCGATCGTCGCCTCATCTCCTGAGAGAAGTTGGCGGGTAGGACAACATTAGAGCTGTCGATGTATAGGAACAACGCTTGACCGAACGCTGCTTTCAGGATCTGAAATGGAACATCCCAACACTCTTTAAGACTGGTACATATATATATATATATATATATATATATATATATATATATATATATATATATATATATATATATATATATATGCAAATATATAACATATTTATACAAATATATAACACATGAACTGATTGCTCACTACCGTGTTAAACAATATTACCCAGTTCATCAATCAATCAGTTTTACATCTACAAGTCACGATGTATGTTTGTATGTTTGTGTATCTGTATGATGTTTATGAGAACATCCAGAGGCGTAGCGACCCTTCTCGGCGCCCGGGGACAAACTTTTCGATTTGCACCCCCCACTCAAGATTTCGATTTGCACACCCCCCCCCCCTCAAACTTTCGATTTGCACCCCACTCAACCTTTCAATTTATTTTTCCAACCCATTTTGGCGCCCCCTAAGGTCGGCGCCCGGGGACATATGTCCCCCCCCCCGCCCTTCCCCCCTCGCTACGCTACTGAGAACATCTTTTACAACATCGAAATTATGCTTTAAAAAATAAAAATAATACTAAAATACAATTACAATTAACACGTGGGTGTCTAATTTTTTCCGTGAATATGCGCACGATCTAGTAATAATGAAAAAGAACGGATGTCTTAGTAAGTAATTAAGAGTATCTCTAATTGTAACACTAATTATAATGTACTAGCTCTAATTCCAACGCCCAGTATACGCTTTATCTTAGTGCTTTTAAAAAATAATTGCCAATTAGCCTCCTTTTCATTGTTGTTGTTTTTTTACATTCCTAGAACCATTGCTTTGAGTGTATGTCTACATGTGCCCATCAGTGTGTGTTGGTCTGTGAGTGTATGTGTGTGTGTCTCTGCGTGTTTGTGAATCTCTATATGTGTCTATGTGTGTGTGTATGTCTTTTCAGGCGTGTGTCTGTAGGACTAATATGTTTGTGTCTGTAAAGCCTCAATGTGTGTATGTGTATGTCTGTGTATGTGTGTATATGTCATTGTGTATGTGAGTCTGTGAATCTCTATGTGTATATATGTGTGTCTGTATCAGAGGCGTAGCGACCCTTCCCGGCGCCCGAGGACAAACCCCCCCCCCCCCATCAAACTTTTCATTTGCACCCCCCCCTTAAACTTTCAATTTGTTTTTCCAACCAATTTTGGCGCCCCCCTAAGGTCGGCGCCAGAGGACATATGTCCCCCCCACGCCCCCCTTCCCCTCGCTACGCCTCTGGTCTGTATGTCTGCATATATGTGTATATATGTCATTGCGTGTGTGAGTCTGTGAATCTCTATATGTGTGTCTGTATGTCTGTGACAAGACACGATATTATATAAATAACCCCCCCCCCCTCCCTCGGAGTAGACAAACCTTACGCTGCAGACACCATCATGTGCATCAGGTGCACCAAAGTACTCACCTTCTGCTCTGCGGTGCCGTTGCCCAAGAGCCAGGTGTTGCTGTCGGTGGCGGGGATGTTGATGGTAAACATGATGATGAACACGTAGTCCCCGGATGTGGTGTAGCCCTGCGCATGCGCCTCGAGCATAAAGTCTCGCAGGGTGATGTTCTGTATGGCCAAAAGGAAGACTGGAAGAGATACATTGGTTAGCTGGCTACCTGGTTAAAGTGGCTACCTGGTTAATGTGGTTACCTGGTTATATTGGCTATTTGGTTAAAGTGATTACCTGGTTAAAGTGGCTACCTGGTTAATGTGGTTACCTGGTTATATTGGCTATTTGGTTAAAGTGGCTACCTGGTTAAAGTGGCTACCTGGTTAAAGTGGTTACCAGGTTAAAGTGTCTACTTGGTCAAAGTGGCTACCTGGTTAAAGTGGTTACCTGGTTAAAGCTGTTACCTGGTTATATTGGCTACCTGGCTACAGGGGCTACCTGGTTATAGTGGCTTCCTCACTGAGGTGGCAACCTTGCCGAAAAAGGCTGCCTTGCAAAAGCGGCTACCGGGTCAAAATGACTACCAGGCCAAGAAGACTACCTGATCAAAGTGGCTATCTCGTCAAAATCATCTATCGTGTGCCATAACAAAAGGTGGCCACTTCACTTAAGTAGAAACATTTACGATTTTTTTTTTCGAACAGCCCTCGAAACCCACCCCTGTCACGGTAAAGATTTGCATCTAACCTCCACACACACACCAGATATCTAATCCCCCCCCCCCCATTCCATACATCTCCCCCCCCCTCATTTCAGACATCTACCCCCTATTCCAGACATCTAACCCCCCCCCCCCATCATTCCAGACATCTACCCTCCTATCATTCTAGACATCTACCCCCCCCCCATCATTCCAGACATCTACCCCCCCCCCATTCCACATATCTAACCACCCCATCATTCCAGACATCTACCCCCCCCCATTCCACATATCTAACCACCCCATCATTCCAGACATCTACCCCCCATTCCAGACATCTACCCCCCCCCCCCCCATCATTCCAGACATCTACCCCCCCCCCCATCATTCCAGACATCTACCCCCCATTCCAGACATCTACCCCCCATTCCAGACATCTACCCCCCCATTCCACATATCTAACCCCCCCCCCCCCCCCTCATTCCAGACATCTAACCCCACCCCCCTCATTCTAGACATATACCCCTCCCCCATTCATTACATCTACCCCCCCTCATTTCAGAAATCTACCCCCGATTCCAGACATCTAACCCCCCCATCATTCCAGACATCTACCCCCCCATCATTCCAGACATCTACCCCCCCCATCATTCAAGACATCTACCCCCCTCCCCATCATTCTAGAGATCTAACCCCCCCCCCCATCATTCCAGACATCTACCCCCCATCATTCCAGACATCTACCCCCCCCCCCCCCATTCAAGATATCTAACCCCCATCATTCTAGACATCTACCCCCCTCCCCATCATTCTAGAGATCTAACCCCCCCCCCCCATCATTCCAGACATCTACCCCCCATCATTCCAGACATCTACCCCCCCCCCCCCATTCAAGATATCTAACCCCCATCATTCTAGACATCTACCCCCCATCATTCCAGACATCTAACCCCACCCCTCCACATACCCCAGACATCTACCCCCCCCCCCAATTCCAGACATCTATCTCCCCCCGCCATCATTCCAGAAATCTAACCCCACCCCTCCACATACCCCAGACATCTACCCATCCCCCTTCCATTCCACACATCTAAACCCACCCCCCACCCCCCATTCCAGACACCTAACCCCCCCCTCGACCTACCCCTGGCTCGTAGAGTTGCGTCCATCAGATGTGTCCTGTACGTCTCCCTCGTGTCGGTTTTCCCAGCCAGCTCGTAACTGCTCCAGACGAACTCCGACGTCCTGCCAACGACAGCAACAAAAGGTCAACTTAACGACAGCAACAAAAGGTCAACGACAGCAACAAAAGGTCAACTTAACGACAGCAACAAAAGGTCAACTTAACGACAGCAACAAAAGGTCAACTTAACGACAGCAACAAAAGGTCAACTTAACGACAGCAACAAAAGGTCAACTTAACGACAGCAACAAAAGGTCAACTTAACGACAGCAACAAAAGGTCAACTTAACGACAGCAACAAAAGGTCAACTTAACGACAGCAACAAAAGGTCAACTTAACGACAGCAACAAAAGGTCAACTTAACGACAGCAACAAAAGGTCAACTTAACGACAGCAACAAAAGGTCAACTTAACGACAGCAACAAAAGGTCAACTTAACGACAGCAACAAAAGGTCAACTTAACGACAGCAACAAAAGGTCAACTTAACGACAGCAACAAAAGGTCAACTTAACGACAGCAACAAAAGGTCAACTTAACGACAGCAACAAAAGGTCAACTTAACGACAGCAACAAAAGGTCAGCTTAACGACAGCAACAAAAGGTCAACTTAACGACGGCAACAAAAGGTCAGCTTAACGACAGCAACAAAAGGTCAACTTAACGACAGCAACAATAGGTCATCTTAACGACATCAACAAAAGGTCAATTTAACGACAGCAACAAAAGGTCAACTTAACGACAGCAACATAAGGTCTACGACAGCAACAAAAGGTCAACTTAACGACAGCAACAAAAGGTCAACTTAACGACAGCAACAAAAGGTCAACTTAACGACAGCAACAAAAGGTCAACTTAACGACAGCAACACAATGTCAACTTAACGACAGCAACAAAAGCCCAACAACGACGGCAACAATAGGTCAACTTAACTGCACTCATCTTCGTAATTAGAGCGTCTTAGTGAATAATTAATGCATGCTTAATTACTCAAATACACAAAGGATGAGCATGCAAGAAATAATTGTTGTAATTAGCAACTACTGGCAAAAATTATGTTAACGTAATAAAAGATTAAGCTCGTAATGGATCAGCATAATTTCGTTTGGAACGATACATGCTTGCTTCCTGTTATGATGGTTTATAATCCACTTCTTATCACGGTGTTATTAATAACGGAAGTTATTAATTTATTTTGTCAATGATTTTCCGAATCTCTTAATTAATAATCAAAAGATTTTCTTTTAAATTTAGATCTTTAAATGATGTATAATGAGAATCTTTGCTCCATATATATTAGATTAGAAGAAGCGCTAGTGTTGAATTGCAGCGAATTCTACCAATTTGATTAGCTGGAGAGTACTTCGGTGTTCAATAATATTATTAATTTATTTAAACTATTTAAAAAAAAAACAGTTGAGCTTGAAAATATTCCCAAGATATAAAAGCCGAATTCATGTATTATGTCATTGTCAACTAAAATGTAACATCCGAGTAGAGAAACTATTTCATTAGCAAATATTATTAGAGCAGTTAAATATATCTTAAGTTAAACTATAACAAAAAACTTTCAGTAATTTAGTTTTGTTTAATGTGCATGGCTACTTAAAATGTGCAAAAGACGTAAACTTATTTTTTATTTATGTAAACAATGATGATTGTTTCAGTCACAGCCTTACAGACTAACGACCATTAATAACGACAGCATACACGTTTTACCGTTCTAGTTGCCTGATTATTTTCATTATCCTTACCCACGAAATAACCTTGTGAACGTCTCTCCATATAGGTCGCCCATTGTGTCATCGTTATCGTAGAAGAAAACTGAAAAAAAAAACACAGAAAATATTTGCAATAAATATGTACATTTTGGTCAGGCTTTTTGAATCAAGAATGGGCGTTCAAACTACATTGGTTTCTCTTGAAGAACTTCAGCACAATTTACGTTTTTTTTTTAAAAAACAATTTCTCAAATCTGTTGTCATCTATAACTTTTCAAGATACGTATGTGCTTTAAAGTGGTATAGCTCAGAGGCGTAGCGACCCTTCACGGCGCCCGGGGACAAACTTTTCGATTTGCACCCCCCCCCCCTCGAGTTTTCGATTTGCACCCCCCTCAAACTTTCGATTTGCACCCCCCCCCCCCTCAAACTTTCGATTTGCACCCCCTCGAGATTTTGATTTGCACCTCCCCCCTCAAACTTTCGATTTGCACCCCCCTCAACCTTTCAATTTATTTTTCCAACCCATTTTGGCGCCCCCTAAGGTCGGCGCCCGGGGACATATGTCCCCCCCGCCCCCCCCCCCCCCCTCTCTACGCTACTAGTATAGCTAGAAAGAGCAGCATATGAGACACTTGTCTATAAGACATTCTACATGCCTCTCCGTAACATGCCTACATGTAGCATAGATACTTGTGTATCTCTTCAGAATATTAACATGTAAGATGCCTATCATCAAACATGCCTATCTGTAAGAAGCCTAATTGATTTTCTCCAGCTGATAATCCACAAGATGCCTACCTATTACATTATGTATCTGTGAGACGCTTATATCTGGAATAAGTATCTGTATAACTCTAAGATTCCTACTTGTTGAATTCCTACCTGTAAGATACCTATCTGTAAAATGTAAAGCTTTAAGATACTTGCATCCAAGATGCTAACAGGTAAGACACCTACCTCTAGTGTGACTATATGTGGCATACATACCTGTATGAAGTATGAAGCTTACCCGTAGAATGTCTACCTGTAAAATGGCCATCTGTAAAATTCCTGCCTGCATGATTCCTACTATTGAAATGCCTACCATATGATGCATGCCTACATACATGTTTCCTAACTGTGGCACACCTACCTGCTCGATGCTTACATGTACGATCCTTAGCTGTGTCCTACCTACCTGTATGCTTCCAGCTGCGTCACACCTACCTGTATGCTTCCAGCGGTGTCACACCTACCTGTATGCTTCCAACTGTGTCACACCTACATGTATGCTTCCAGCTGTGTCACACCTACCTGTATGCTTCCAGCAGTGTCACACCTACAGTTATGTCACACCTACCTGTATGCTTCCATCTGTGTCACACCTACAGTTATGTCACACGTACCTGTACATTCCCCACCTGTGTCCCACCTACCTGTAAGCTTCCAGCAGTGTTCCACCTACCTGTATGCTTCCAGCAGTGTTCCACCTACCTGTATGCTTCCAGCAGTGTTCCACTTACCTGTAAGCTTCCAGCAGTGTTCCACCTACCTGTATGCTTCCAGCAGTGTTCCACCTACCTGTATGCTTCCATCTGTGTCCCACCTACCTGTATGCTTCCAGCTGTGTCACACCTACCTGTATGCTTCCATCTGTGTCACACCTACAGTTGTGTCACACCTACCTGTATGCTGCCAGCTGTGTCACACTTACTGCTGTGTCCCACCTACCTGTATGCTTCCAGCCGTTGCTCCTCATGATACTAAACACCGTGTCGACCACCGACGACTGCATGAGAGGGTTGAGCCTGGTGAGCCTGGGAAACAGCAGCTTGTCCCCGATGTTCTCCGTGTTACCCACGGGGGTGATGACTGGGACGTTCCAATCGTTGGCCATGTAGGCTATGGTCTCCACGGCTCGGCTGCAGGCTGGGGAGGGGGGTGGGGGGCGGGGGGGAATGTTTATTGGTGACTGAAGTTCATTGACTGGCTAAAGCTCATTTTCTAACATTTTTAAATTTGTCTAAAGTTCATTGGCTTTTAAAGTTCATTGACTTACTAAATTGCATTTATTGATTGGTTTATGAAAATTGACTGGCTAAAGCTCATTTTCTAACCAGATTTTAAATTTTTTCTAAAGTTTATTGGCTTATTAAAGTTCATTGACTTACTAAATTGCAATTACTGATTGGTTTATAAAAACTGACTACAGTTTTTTTTTGACTGACTAAAGTTTATTGACTAAATGAAGTTCATTCTCTTACTCAAATTAATCGACTGACCAAAGTTTAGTAAAACTATAAATGGTCATTGAAGGGCTAAAATTCGTTTTTAAAATTCACTTGACTTGTATTGACTGAATGAATTGTATACACTGACTAAATTCAATTGACCGACTACATAATATACTGACTAAAGGGTATTGACCTCACAGAATAAACTTTACCGTAGTACACATGCGCTTAAAAAAGCTAAACACACGAACAAATATCACTGCACAAAAACATGTATGGGGATAAACATACACGAATGCAAGAGTTTACATACAGACAGTGGCGCAGCGAAGTCGGGTGTCACCCGGTGCGGTACTTAATGGTGTCAAGCCCCAGAGGCGTAGTGACCCTTCGCGGGGACAAACTTTCAAGTTTTCGATTTGCACCCCCTCCTGAAACTTTCGTTTTGTACCCCCCCCCGTCAAACTTTCGATTAGCACCCCCCTCAAGTTTTTCTCTATATATTTTGCTATTTTTTGCCTTGGTGTCACCCCCCTAAATGGTGTCACCCGGTGCGGTCCGCACCCCCGCCCCCTTCGCTACGCCCCTGCATACAGACAATTAATAAACTCAAAAGATTCTCTGTTCATTTTAACTATAACTTTCCTTAAGGTTGAAATGATTCAGTATTGAACTGTTAACTATGTACTGTTTTAACTCACTATATCGCTAATGTGCTTGTGGGGTGAAAGAAGGAAAAAAAGACTTTAAAGTATAAACTCATAAGAAAAAAATAAAAAATAAAAATTCCTTTAAAAATCATTCACTTTTTTTAATTATGTAAGTCTTACATATTTATAATATTCTCAATGTTATAATTTTACTGTCAGTAAAATGAGGAAATGCCCTAGTTCCTTCCTCTGCTAATAACCCCTCAAATCCAGACTGATCACTAGCCGTATATAAGTACTCCTTATTTAACTAGCCCACGTCTTCAGTATTATTTAACAAATGGATGTTTAAAAAAAAGATATATCTCATAACGAACAAATGATACATCTCAAGCACATTAATCACATCCAATCAATAATTTTACTTCTGATTGGTTTTCTCGAAGAGGACACATGACCGTATTTAAAAAAAAAATTATTTAATTTTTTGGTAAAATTATCTTGGGTTCAATGTGCTAGCTATACCAAATAATCAAAACTATAATTTACAATACATTATTAATGATTGACCTAATTTAGATAAAAAAATTATATTGTTATGTAAAATAGTACTATGAATTGCGTAATAGTACATTAGAACAACGTAATTATTCTAAATTGTGTAATGTTGGATTATAGATCGCGTGTACTACAACTGCTGTATTGTATTGTATGAGGTGTGCTAAAGATCAAGGTTTTTAATTGGCTTGATGGGTGTTAGGGGGTTAATGCAAGGAAAGATAACTCTGGGGTAACTGAGCAGGGGTTATTGCTCTTTGCCTGCTCATATATCGATGTATTTTTTTGGTCTTAAATCTGTCTTACAGCATACGTGGGTGAACTACATTAGGACTTGAAGATCATAAAATAAAATAGCAAGTAAAATGTGTGGTGGACGATGGTTATATATGTGTTGTATAAAAATATTTTTTTTATTTCATCTAGGGATGGACTTTTTTGCCTTCAAAATTTGATACGTAAAAGAAACTCTAATTTGATCGATTTCAATCCCCCCCCCCCCCCACACACACCCACCTCCATACAAATCTGACTCAGAATTTGTTTAACAAATAATCAAACCTCATCGTCCACCTCGACAGTATACATTTATTTTTGTTATAGAAGGTACAACAGGAACAGGTTTAAAACTAAAAGGAGTTAACTATGTTTAACATCTCACGCGTCTACCCAGTTCTGTGAGGGGGAGCGTGCAAAACAAAACTTGTTATTTGAAATTTGACCATTACTAAATCATCATTCTGATTTTGTACTTTTATAAAAAAATCACGAAACGTGCTGAAAAACAAATTGCGAAAATATTTTTAAAAATATTTTTTTCTTAGCCTTAACGCCGCAAAAAAAAAAAATGTGACATCCGCGAAATTCATACGCGAGGACTTTTGTTAGGTGGAGGGGGAGGGAGATCGATTCGAGGTCAATCAACAGTCTAATTATAGTAACACATGCATTCAGTGGCTCGTAGCGTGAGCTACACGTGAGGCCAGATAACTGTCACACGTGACAAATAACTGCTCAACGTGACAGTTGGCCGTGAAACGTGACACTTCTCTGTGAGACAGGGTTTGAATGGATGACAGCTGGGTCAGCTGATGACCGCGTCCTAGTTCTTCTGATGGGGGGGGGTGGGTGTTGTCTTGCAAGAGCGGATGATCATTGATGTAGAGGAAGTAGAGTTGTGCTGATTTTTTAGAGGTAAACATAGAGAGACTAGAAACCCATGTAATATATCTCATCAGGACAGTGCAAGAAGACGCCGCTACAGTAAACAGACTAGGAGCAGGAACTATATCGAGAACAATATCTAGGTTAGAAGCCGGAATATCGCCTAGGTTAGAAGCCGGAACAATACCTAGGTTAGAAGCCGGAGCAATACCTAGGTTAGAAGCCGGAACAATCTCTAGGTTAGAAGCCGGAACAATACCTAGGTTAGAAGCCGGAACAACACTTAGGTTAGAAGCCGGAACAATATCTAGGTTAGAAGCCGGAACAATACCTAGGTTAGAAGCCGGAACAATATCTAGGTTAGAAGCCGGAATAATACCTAGATTAGAAGCCGGAACAATATCTAGGTAAGAAGCCGGAACAATACCTAGGCTAGAAGCCGGAACAATATCTAGGTTAGAAGCCGGAATAATACCTAGGTTAGAAGCCGGAACAATATCTAGGTAAGAAGCCGGAACAATACGTAGGCTAGAAGCCGGAACAATATCTAGGTTAGAAGCCGGAATAATACCTAGGTGTGATGACGCAAGATTACGTCCGACATGTTTAGCAGATATAGGTTAGCAGAAACAGACTATAGGCCTAGTTGGTTGGTTAGAGAGACCAATGGGCGCACAGGCTGACCGGTCACGTGGGACGGTCAGCTGACCACTGAGGCGTGGAGCAGTAGAGCGATGGGCCAGGAGTTGTTAGGTAGCGGTCAGAGACGGCCGAGAATGTAGATAGTTAGGAGATCATGATTAGCTAGCGAGGTAGAAGGTGTTAGATTGTAGAATGTAGAGAACAGTTAGTGTTAGGATTGGTCATGGGAGTGCGTAGTTAGTGGTATAATGAACAGTCAGATAGAAGTAGTACAGTGTAGATCAGTTAGGTAGAAACTTGAATATATATATATCAATTTAAATAAAGAACAATTATAGTTGAACTTGAACTGTGTGTTATTGGATTCATTCGTTACCGCCTTCTTAAAAAACCCCACCCTCACACTAGGTTAGAAGCCGGAACAATATCTAGGTAAGAAGCCGGAACAATACGTAGGCTAGAAGCCGGAACAATATCTAGGTTAGAAGCCGGAATAATACCTAGGTTGGAAGCCGGAACAATATCTAGGTAAGAAGCCGGAACAATAAGTAGGCTAGAAGCCGGAATTATATCTAGGTTAGAAGCCGGAATAATACCTAGGTTAGAAGTCGGAACAATATCTAGGTAAGAAGCCGGAACAATACCTAGGTTGGAGGCCGGAAAAAATACCTGGACTGTTAATCTCCCCATAACACCAACAACGCTCCACTTGACACTATCAATTTCTGGCAACGCAATTAGCCCACATGCGGCACACATTTTAGAATCGTTGCCTACATTTTCATCAAGACGTTTTAAAACATTCAGGAAAAAGTATAATTATTTTAACATGTAAAATCGTCTAAAGCTTAATTTTTTAATTTTTTTTTTACATTTGCAGTTCGATAAAATCCTTATTTAATAAGGCTTTGGTGACGAATACTTATTGCATCAAGAAAAAATACTATTCCTTAATTAATAGGTCTGGAATTTTTAAATAAAAATTGTCAAAGCCTCCGTTGAAAGCCTAGCTCTAGCAAATATCCTTTTCTTATTCAATTAATCACTTCTACAGTGAAGAAGAAATGAATGTACTTATTTAATGAGTAAAAGGTTTACAGTTTTAAGTCTGGCCGAACTCAAAGAATACAAAGTTTTAAAAAGAGGAATCGGCTAGTCCATAATGGTAATAAATAATGGAATTTAACTACATAATAATGATTCTTGTTTTTAACTGGTTGTAATGCGTATTTGTTTTTAACCGTCTAATAGCTGATTGAGTTGATTTTAACCAGTCTAAAAGGTACATCGTAGCGACACTAAGTCAAGTGACACCCAATGGTGTCATGGTGAACCTTCAACGACTACATAAAATGGTGTTATTTGGTGTCACCCCATTATAGATGGTATAGTCATCAAGGTGAACGGTGTGCTTGTATTACTAATGTGTGATTAAATTATACAAAATAGTTTCAGTTGAGTGGGGAGGGGGGGGGTCATCCATAAATACGCCACGCTTTTTTGACGATTTTTTTACTTCCCCCCCCTCCCCCGTCACACATCGTCACAAAAAGCAAGACCCCCCCCCCCTAAAATGACGTCACACTTCAGCCTACACCCCCCCCCCTTAAATTGCAGTTGAATTTTTCTTCAAACATCGATATTTTTCC